ACACAAGAAAGCTACAAAAACCAAAAAGAAAAGAGACCAAGACAGATACAAGAGACTAAGACAAGAAGTACAATGGGAAATCAGACAAGCCAATAAGAAATACATGGAAAAAGTTAGCTCCAATTATAAGGACAACTCGAAAAAATTCTGGTCCTATATTAAAGGCAAAGGACAAGAATGGACAGGAGAAGCACCATTAAAGAACAAAATGGGATTCCTGCAAAGCGATAACAAGAGCAAAGCTAACATCCTTAACGACAAGTTCTAGTCTGTATTTACAAAAGAAAACCTTAATAACTTCCCAAATAAAGGGAAAAGTCCATATACCACCATGGCGGATATACAAATCAATGTCAAAGGAGTTCACAAACTATTGAAGAACCTAAAACCACATAAGGCAACTGAACCAAATGCTATACCATCTTTTATACTAAAGACAGCGGCAGACCAACTTACTTCAATTCTTACAGAACTGCAAGTATCCCTCAACACCGGAGAAGTCCCTCAAGATTGAAAAGATGCAAATGTAGTCCCATGCTTCAAAAGGATGAAAGACATTTAGCATCAAACTGCAGACCTATATCACTTACCTCCATTACATGCAAAGTCTTTGAACACATTGTACACAGCAGTGTAATGGACCACTTTGACAAAAACACAAGTCTTACAAACGCACAACATGTATTCCGCAAACGACGATCTTGCGAATCCCAACTAATCATCACCATTCATGACATTGCATCGAAATTAAAAAGTAACAGCCAAGTAGATATCATCCTACTAGATTTTGCAAAAGCGTTTGATAAAGTGCCACACTATCGCCTACTACATAAACATGAGTATTACGGAGTTAACCCTAAAACAAACAAGTGGATAAGATCCTTCCTACAAAACAGAATGCAAAGCTTTACCCTAGAGGGAGCTGTCTCTGAACAGGTACCAGTGCTCTCTAGTGTACCTCAAGGTACAGTTCTTGGACCTCTACTGTTCCTAACCTACATAAACGACATGCCAGAAACAACAAGATCATCAGAGACTAAACTATTTGCAGACGACAGCCTCCTCTATAGAACCATAAGCAACCAAGCAGAAAGTGACCTACTGCAGAAAGACCTAACATCTTTCGAGGACTGGGAAAATAAATGGCAAATGAGCTTTGATGCGAAAAATGCATTGTAATCCGAATACAATCTAAGAACCGTCCTGTAATACCAACTAACTACAAACTACATGGACACACACTACACACCACTGAAGCTAGTAAACAGCGATAACCTCGCCTGGGACAGACATATCGACAATATAGTGGGTAAAGGCAACAAAACACTAGGCTTCATAAAACGGAACCTAAAAGATTGCACTAAACCGGTTAAAACAGCTGCATATTCAACAATAGTAAGACCTTCAGTTAAATATGCATGCACGGTATGGGACCCAATAAAACAGATTAAATAAAGGCAATCGAACAAGTGCAGAAGAAGAGCAGCAAGATTTTTAAACAAATACACAGACTGCACACCTGGCTGTGTAACAAACATGGTAAAATCTTTAAAATGGGAAAGCCTTGAAGACCGCAGGAAACAAACTAGGCTATGCATGCTGTTTAAAATACAACATTATCTAATAGACATAGATCGGCACCAATATCTGACGCCAAACGATAGCCGGACCAGAGGTAAAAACCGATTCTACCAAGAAAGGGATACAACAGACGCTTTCAGCCAATCATTCTTCCCCAAGGACCATCAGGGACTGGAACCAACTGCCAACATCAGCGACATCAGCCGACACAGTTGAAAGATTCAGAGCTGCATGCCCTGAAGGCATGCTCAGCTAAGATCTAGACAGTAACATCCTGTACATAGCTTTAATTGTATATATATAGAGAGAACGTTTTAAATGTAAATAGCCAAGAGAAAACTTTCTGTGTTGTCCGACACTGCGCATAGTTTTTGCGGGAAATAATACATTGTATTATTGAATTCGGTTCCTTACCTGGAAAAAGAAGAAGATGCATGCATGCTTCGTAAATATTCTAGTGCTACAAATTGTTCAAGGTGGAAACTTTTTTGAATTTAATTAGATTGTGTTTCATCCGCATTTTGCATATTTAAACAAATTATATTTAACCTAAACCAAATAAGATCTTTAGAATTTTTGATGAATGTCAAAGAGATGTGCTGAATATACAGTTTGAAATTGATTATGAAAGGATAAAATTAATGTCTCAATTTATATTTTTGGTATAAAGACATGCATCATAAAAGCCATAAGAGTAAATAATTTTCCATCTTTTTATTTCTTGCATTTAGTAGTTTGATGTCTCAAATTTGTTTTTATACTAGTTGAGCAGGAAATTCTTACCCGACAGAGAACCTGAGAGCAGTTGTAGAAGGGTTCGTGTTGCTAAGTCTGCAGTTTTTAATGTCATGTTTTGTGGACTTCTTTGTCATTCAGTTGTCTTGTATTTTTGCACCATGGCGTTGTCAGTTTCTCTTCAATTAATGAGTTTTGAATGTCCCTTTGGTATCTTCTGTCTAATTTGGAATAGAAATGAATTAAATTGTTTTAAATGTCCTACAAACCTCACTTTTATCACTTTTCTATTGTAATCTTAACATTTATTGGAGGCTATTGTGTTAGTAATTATACATATACATCTGTCATCTGGGTGATAGGTAATACTTTTGTAATTTGGTCACCTGTAAATTCATTTAACAGTAACTAGAGGCTCTCAAGAGCCTGTGTCGCTCACCTGTATCTACTGTGGTTTTGGAAATCATGTAAAATAAGGTTAAAATCATATAGATACCCTAATAATGATTGAGGCCAAGTTTGGTTTAATTTGGCCGAGTAGTTAAATTAAAAGCAGAAGAAATTTGAAAAAATTTACAAAAATTACAAATAAATTGCAGAAAATAACTTTAAAGGACAATAACTCCAATAAGATGTAAATTGCCAATTTTGGTCATGTTGACTTATTTGTAGATCTTTCTTTGCTTGATATTTTTGCTGTCTACAGTTTATCTCAATCTATAATGATATTCAAGTTACTTAACAAAAAATAAAAAAATTCCTTTCCTCCGCTCCAAAATTTATTTCACCCAGGGCCTGTATGATGCTGAAAATGCCTTTAAATGTTTTTATGGAACATCCTTCAAAAAATTTGGGCAGGTGTTTGAAGGGCATTCACCCAATATAAGTATGCTGAAAGAAAAGATATAATAATGGTTTATAGAAAAAGTAACACAGAATAATTCTGAAAATGGAACATATCAAGGAGAAATTATTAGCACATCACCCCCCCCCCCCCCCCTGAAAATTAATCTAGTCATCCCATTGTAGTCTTACAATAGTTACTGAAGACCCCTTATCATTATTTAAATTAGTATTCAAGTTGTGACCATTTGAAATTGTTTTTTTTACATTTTTCCCATAGACTCCTATAGTATTATAAAACCCCTATGTTCTATTTTTACCCATGGGGACCATGTTGGTTATAGGGCAGGGTCATCGGATACATTTTTCAATCAAGATACTCTAATAATAATTGTGGCTAAGTTTAATTCCATTTGGCCAAGTAGATTAAGAGAACATTTTTGTAAAAGATTACAAAAATTTACAAAAATTGTGAAAAATTTACTTTAAAGGGCAATAACTCCTTAAGGGGTCAATTGACAATTTTGGTCATGTTTGACTTATTTGTAGATCTTACTTTGCTGAACATTTTTGTAGTTTACAGTTGATCTCTATCTATTATAATATTCAAGATCAGAACCAAAAACTGCAAAATTTCCTTAAAATTACCAATTCAGGGGCAGCAACCCAACAACGGGTTGTCTGATTCGTCTGAATATTTCAGGGCAGATAGAACTTGAACTGATGAACATTTTTACCCAATGTCAGACTTGCTCTTAATGCTTTAGTTTTTGGAGCCAAAAACTGCATTTTACCCCTATGTTCTATTTTTTGCCATGACGGCCATCTTGATTAGTGGGCAGGGTCATCGATACTTTTTTAAACTAGATACCCTAAGGTTGATTTAGGCAAAGTTTGGTTTAATTTGACCCAGTGGTTTCAGAGAAGAAGATTTTGGAAAAGTTAAAGGACGACGACGGACGCCAAGTGATGAGAAAAGCTCACTTGACCCTTTGGGTCAGGTGAGCTAAAAATACATTACACTTTCAAGAAAAAAAATTTGATTTTAACATGTATTTCATAGGAGTAACACAATAAGAGTCATATGTGGAGCAGAATTTGTGAACCCTTCCAGAGAACCTGAGACCACATTTTTAATTGGGTTCATGTTGCTCAATCTTTAGTTTTCTATGTTGCGTTTTGTATATTGTTATTTTGTCTTATGGTCGTTTATCGTATTTTGCCATGGTGTTGTCAGTTTTTTTTTTTGACTTATGAGTTTGAATGTCCCTTTGGTATCTTTCGTTCTTTTGAAATAATTGATACACATTTTAATATATATCTAGAGTATGCCATATCATTATCCCTAAGACTCTATTAGTTATCATTAATATTGATAATTAATAAAACGTACCAATATCATTTACTTTTATAAACTGAATCATGTAAAAGGAAACAATTTTCAAATAATTTCCCTCAATAGACCATTGTTTTACTAGAATTAATGATAAAGGCCCCTTTGAAAATTCCCAATTGACCAGTATTGACCACTTGAGTATTGACCTAGGCTGTAAATACCTGGGGTTGTATATACCAGTCGACCTAGCCACTGCTTCATAGCTTTCATAAGTCCCGCAATGCCTTTCTTCCTCAAATTCTTTCAGGATTGTTAATGCATTCTGTTTAAGGGGAATTGAGATAGTGTATATGTGCAGTAGATCTTTTAAAAACAGTAAAGAATGGAAAAATTATCACAATTTTTTTTACCAGTACATGCTAATTACATGCCACAACTCTTCTATACATTTTTACAAATTAAGTGGCGGAGGAATTTGTATATCAGAGAGAAAAAAAAGAAAACATTTAGGTTACAGACTTTATTATATTACAGAAAGATCAATATTAGCATTAGTCATTTTTCTACACATTTTATTAAAAAAAACTGGTTATTCATACATAATGATTTCACTTTATCAAATTAAATACTTCTTGAAATAACACACTATCCAATCTATTTCCTAAAACGTTAGTTCAGAAAGACATTAACAAAACAAATATAAAAAACTTTTTCTATATAAAATGGAAGTGTTCTAAATTCATTTCAAGGTTTATTTACATTTCAGATCTCTTTTAATCAATATAAACAAATCAGTATCTTTTCAATAAAAATGTTTTAAATGCTGTATAAAAGGAATGTTTTGATTCAAAATTTGTTTCCTGAAATTATTTGGCATCAATCAATATCATTTTGTATGTTAGTGTACATATATAAATGAGCATATACACTCCAATCCTACTTATATCAGATTAACAAAACCTAGAGTAGACTACAGATAAATATAGGTATTTAAGTACTTTAAAATTAAACTATTTCTGTAAGGTAAATTCATTTTCAAGAAATTTATTGTCAAGAGATATGGATATTTAAAATAATTTTTATTCTGGTTGTGGACTTGTCGTTTTCCCAATCTTTATTTCAGATGTTTATCCTTAAAAGAAATGGATATTAAAATCCCTGTATGTTTGATTTGGAATGTTCAGTAAAATTAGTACCGTTTATGTTAGTACTACTAATGGTAGATACATATGCTGTGGACTGTTAGTCCCCTAGGGTATCACCAGCCCAGCAGCCAGTACTTCGGTACTGGCGTGAAAATACGGATATTGTGTTATTAAAATTTGCTGTAACAAATTTTTGAAATTCTTTTAAATTAATTAGGAATATATCTCCCTCATGCAAAGTTCTGATTCCTTGCCTGGCGTTGACTTTACTTTTTAATCAACTTTTTATTTAATAATTTTTGGATTTTCAAATATTTTGGCCTCAAGCATAACTGAAGAGACGTTTATTGTCGAAATGTGCATCTGGTGCATTTAAATTGGTACGGTTTCTGTTGTTATGATAAAAACAGCCAGACATATATTATAATTTATCTAAATAAAAAGTTGTTTGGGGACAAAAACATATATCTTTTTTACTTTAGTTACAAAGAACAGTTTTGCTTAGAAATATTATCTGATCTGCATAAAGTTTCAAATGTATTAATTCACATACAATGAAGCAGTTGTTACATTTGGATCCATCAGAGTTTTATTTTTAGAAGATGTATGGACAAAGTTTTCCATAAATACAACATTTCATAGATTTCTGAAAAAGACTGGTGTAATAAAGCATGTGTTTTCTGTAAAAATAACTTGAGATTCAAGATGGATGTCAAAGTTTGGATTTTGGCAAGACTGTGTAATTAAAAAGAAATTTAATAGGAAAGACGTTCATGTTAGGCAGCAATCAGATGATTAATCTTCATTTCGAAATATGATTCGTAAATTCGAAACTGGTCAGATTGCAGGAGAAAAGTGAAAAGTAAAAAAATTTGACAAAAATTATATGAATCATGAATATTCATAATACAATCTACAAAATCTTTCATAGGGTCATATTTTGCAATAATGCGTTAAAATTAGATGTTAAATTGACCTTCCATCATCTTGTCTAAACAGTTATAAATAGAAAAAATATTCAAAGACTGACAAAAAAATCACTTGATTCCTTTATGTTGTGTAGTAATTAAAGTATTGTTAGCCATGCCTTTTTAATAATAATCATGATAACATAACAATACCTAAGAAAATAGGTAACTTTGCTTACGAAAAAAATTGTCAAGAAACAGACTAAACTTAAAAAAAACTGTTATTCAGTAAATTAACATAGATGTTGGTTTTTTTTTTGCTGGTATGGGATTACCAGACAAAATTTAAAATACAGCTTACATAGAATTTTAAAATCTTTTAAAACACAAATTAAACAATAGCAAACCATGAGATACAAAACTTATCTCTTTTCTTGATAGTTACATTAATTTTGAAAATACTATACTCTTGTCAAGTTAGAAGAGAATAAATGACTCTATATAATTAATATCTCTTATATATGTCAGCAGTGAAGATCATATGCTATCTTCATGGATGAATCAACATGACAATACAAATCATATATAAATCCTTGTTTAATAACTATTCTATTCTAATACACTAATATTATTATCACAGTCTTATGCTATGTGTATCAACAAAGAATTGCTCAATAGAAATGTCATATATACACATGTAACCTTACAATTCTGACAACACTCCTAAATACATGTTTTGTGTATGTTCTTTTCATGTTGGATGTTTTATTCTTCCATCAGATCATTCATATATAAGTGTGTTGGTATTATCAAATAAGTAAAGATTCCTACTGCTGTCTGTTTTCGCGTCTGATGCACATTTCAATTTTGAAAAAAAAACTATTACTGAATTTTCCTGGAGGCACTGTGAGTAAAACATTTATGGAGATGTTGCTTGGAAAAGAATTGAAGAATTCATACTCCAAAAATGTGTCAACCACCAACTCGGACTTCTTTTAAACTGAGTTTTATTGTGCGTATTGCTGTGTGTTTGTTTATTCCATATTGGCTACAGGTATAAGGGAAGGGTTGAGATCTCAAAAAACATGTTTAACCCCAACACATTTTTGTGCCTGTCCCAAGTCAGGAACCTCTTCACTTTGTTTATCTTGTGTGTTATTTTAATTTTGGTTTATTTGTATATTTCAGAGCTAAGTGTTGCGTCCATTTCCCTGAACTAGTATACATTATTTTTTAGGGGCCTGCTTAAACCCGCCTCCTGGTGGGAGATTTTCTCGCTGCGTTGAAGACCCATTGGTGGCCTTGGGCTGTTTTCTGCTCTTTGATCGGGTTGTTGTCTCTGACACATTCCTCCTGCACATGTCCATTCTCTTTTCTATTAATCACTTTCAAATTGATGGCTTACCATGGTAGGATGTTCGCCACAAGTCCAAGAGGTGGGTTTGATTCAAATCCAGGTCAAAGCAGACTTAAAAATTAGTAGCTCTATCCTTCTTTGCTATATAGGCTGAGACTTGTCTGGTCTGAGTCAGAATAATGTGTCCGGTAGGGTTACATGTCATCCTGCAGACTGTAACCTTGTGAAATAGCACATTACAAACCTGCAGGTCTAGGAAAAAGCAGGGTTAATGTTCTTACAACATAAACATGGTCTTGTCCTGATATGCATGTGATATTTTCTATTGGACGTTTAACAATAATAAATCCATCAAACGTTTATCAAGGGTAAAATAATCATGGGAAAATGAAGTGATAAACATTTTTTTCCGAAAAAAAAAACAAATTAAAATGAATCCATGACGAGTACAACTGATTGGGATCCAGAGCAATATGATTTCCCTTTTATCAGCCAAAGAAAGGAAAGTGAAATTATTTGCCCAGTTGCCCACTGGTATCAGCCCTGGTTTTTTTTATCATTCTTATTTACATACCATGAAAGGATTTCAATACATTTTTTCATTAAATTTTATAAAAAAGAAACCTCACTTCTATGTTAACCTAGATACATAATTTAATAAACTTTTTTTTAAAAACCTTGGACTTTTGACTTTTCATAATCAAATTTTTTTTATTTTTTTTTCCTTTTCTTCTTATCTTCTTATTTCTATCTATCCTGCATATCTGTTTTAAAACAAATAACTTTCAAATGGTCAAATATTTTCCACATGATACGCAATAATCATGTTATACTTTTTGCATTTACCAATTTGTTTTCCACACACAAATATTTACTTCCATTAATATACAATCCTACAAACTACAAAACATTATCACATCATATCTTATTTCCCCTGTGCCACACCTTTAGCCAACATTGGTCCAGTTTTGTGTAGATATAAAACAGGCCACACTAAATAATCGATTTTGCTGCCACTTTTTGTAAAAACATTGTAGTCATTTTTGTTTAAGTTTTCTCCTGAATTGACACCAAAATTCAAATATAGAGGTGGATCAGATATCTGCATCATCCAACAGAGTTCAGAACATTTCTTGATATATTTAACAATGTAATCCTCACTGGATAAAGTTTGTTGTGTAACACTCTTCACATGACATATCTGTAAATAGAAAATGATATTTATATTGCATTTTTTATAACTTTATTAAGAATTTCAATATATATTCATGACATGTTGATATTGACATAAATAATGCCCCATTTCTCTCATCGTTTCTGCATACAAAACATTCAAACCAGTATTTTGAAGGTTACCAAGAAACATTTGCTCCGCACTTGCAAAACATATAATGTTTCCCTTTAAATATAAAAATAAGATGGAGAAAGATTGCAAATGAGACAACTTTCCACCAGAGACCAAATGATGTAAAGGTACAGTTTAAGAACATTAGTATCTCTTAATCTTGAACAGCTTATATAGTTGCCTTTCTAAATAATGTTTAGCTTTTTAATAAAGACTTAACTAACAAATAGTGATACAGATGAAAACTGACAAACCTAGTCAATAAAAATCTGATTTGACACCTGCATGAGCAGGGTTTGAACTCACATCCCCAGTGTTGCCAGGCTAGTTTACCGCAGATGAACTACCTAGACCCCAGGTATGTATGATGAAGTTGAGATGGTATACATGTTACTATTTATCAAAACATAATTTGTATATTGAATCTGCACTTGCTTTTCTATTACAACCAGTCACACAATTTTAAAATGAAAACTTGCAGAGAGTCTGCAAAAAAATAATGTTATAAATTACCTGTCCAACAACAACCAAACTCTCTACTGCTATTTTCTTCTGAAACTCCTTCACAAAGATAAGACATCTGTCTGATAAAACTACATTCTGTCCCTGTAAATGAAATTAATTTATTTGATAGTCAATCTCCATGTGAATTATATCTTTGAAAATTAAATGAAGCAAAATTTATCTACTGTAAACTTCAATATTAATGCATGCATAAATTATTGTGAATTCTTGACCTTTGGCAAAACTGTAAAATTTAATTAACGCAATTGCAAAAATTTTATGAAGGAAAATCACTACTGAAATTATGAATGCAAATTTTTATGATTGCAAACCTAATACTGTCACATTTTGCGCATTAATGAAAACATCACAATAATGTCTGAAATTACAGTATCATGGTAATTTGGCAATGACATAGCATTATGTGTTGGAAGGCAGTTTGAGTTAATTGTACTTAAGGTGGTACCTAACACTACAGGGAGATAACTCTGTAAAAATCAGCTAAACGTTTTAATCATGTTGTATTGTTAAGGAAATATTAAGCTTCTCAATGATCAAAATTAGTGTTTGTCAAACTGCTATATAACCAATGAAATTTTTCTGATAAAGTGGTTGGTTGAAATTTTTTGAAATTTTTATATTTTTGTCAAAGGGTCAAAGTAAACATTTTGTCAAAATTTTATGAAAATTAAACGAGCCAAATTAATATCAGTCAAGGTGTTGGGTACCACCTTAAACAAAATAAAGATAATTAATGTTATACATACACCATGATTCTGCATGAATCCAATAGATTTGTTTATCAAGGTATCTCTCTGTTCTTTTGCTAATTTTTGACACCAACTATAACAACTCTATTTAGACAAAATAAAACACTCATTAACAAATACAGCATAAAACACAGTCTCAATGTAAAATAACATAGATGCCATGCATATCAATTATTGTTTACTTGATAGGTATTTACTGTATTGTTAACTTGGCTTTTACACTAAATAGGACATTAGAAATGTATGAGGAGAGATGCATGCATTGCTGTCAATACTTGGTCTTAATACATTTAGGACTTTTTTTTGTGTATAAATAAGCAGCAGTGCCAAGAGTACATGATCTCTTGTCTTGTGCATGTCATTGAGTGGTACTTGTTTGTTGCTGTTTAACATATTTGTTTAACAATTATTGATTTGTACAGTTTTTTCTTGTGTTGTTCTTTTGAACCAGTCCCAGGTTAAGGGGGAGGGTTTGGCGCCCACAAACATGTTCAACACTTCCAAATTCTGTATGTGTCTTTCCAAAGTCAGGAGCCTGTAATTCAGTGGTTGTCGTTTGTTGCTGTTAATCATATTTGTTTTTCGTTTATAGTTTTGTACATAAATCAGGCTGTTAGTTTTCTCATTTGAATTTTTTTACATTTGCCATTTCGGGGCCTATATTTGTTTACTTCTATGTCATTTTGTCTCTGGTGGAGAGTTGTCTCACTGGCAATCATACTATATATATCTTCATGACATAGTGAAACAAAAAGTGATTTGGATTGCCAGTGACTAGTTCAAATTTATTCTACATTTTTATGCATTTGTTAAATATGCAAGTGGGTCTCAACATACAATTTGGGTACAAACATCCACTGCTGTTTTTAATAATTTACAATGTTTTTTTTTTTTTATTTTAATGGAATCACCTGAAAAATGACTATCAGAAGAAAATTTGGTAGATTATAATGTTAAATATTAAGATGTACGATTTATGATGAGAACAGTATTTTTCATAGTGAACATTTTATACATGTAGTTTCATAAGTCAAAAACATGAAAACCACATTTTGTCCAGTAGGAAATTTTTGAGTACTGTATTCTGGATTTTGTCATCTAGAATGAATAGAGTTATCTTTCTTTGTACTGATTATTTGTATTTGTATTGCAGGATCATTACATGTATATATATTAATACACAATAAATGTATCTATTGACATGAGGTGTTCATTTTATTATACCTCAAAACAAACTGGTTACATACACAGTTTTTACAGAAGATGAACATTTATGACCCTTTGACATATGAATTTCTACCCATTGATATATTACCTCTGAGAAATTGCACTGCATTGATATATTTGCAAAAAAGTTACCCATACCACACGTAAGTCAGTTGCAAACCTGTATTAGGAAGAACTTTAATTACAAAAAAAGTAATGAAATGGTAATGGTTTTTAATAGTTAATCATTTTGTGCAATTTTGTGTTAAATATATTCAGAACATTGAAAAAATCAAAATACCTGTAACCACTGTAACATAACCTTGACGGAAGCTGCCTCGTCCATATCATCTTCAATAACTTCCATAGCATCTGTGTATTCATCTGTATATAATGAAGAAAACTTCTCAGCTAACGAAGTTGGACGGTTCATATCACTTAAGTCAGCAATGTTAGGATTGTTATCTCTTAGTTTATTGCCAGCAGCTTCACTTAATCTGAAATGAAAAAGAGCTCATTCTATCCTATACAAATTATCATAGTTGATGTACTCACTATAGAGAAGTTTTCTACTTCGACAGTTTACTGTGACCACAATATCTTACCAAGGAAAACCTAGAAAACTTTTATCATCACAATATACATTCAAATAGCTACTGATAGCTTTTTACTTGCTCAACAAATTGGAAATTGCACCACTTTGAATCCAAGTACCATCATCACTTATGCAAGGATGTGACAAATGTGAAAAGACAACAGTTCATACTAATACTATTCTATAAAATATTATAGGATTAGAAGCCTTTTTAAAGGAATTTATTGGTGTATAGACGGGACCAAGTCACTCACAAACAAATAAAAGTCTGAAGGGACTTTTATGATATGTTTGTGAGTGACTTGGTCCAGTTTATACACCAATAAATTCCTTCAAAAATGCATTTAATCCTGATAATTCTTTAAAATTGGAGATAAGGAATTTAATTTCACCACTCGTAACCTCTATCACACGTAAATTGTATATTTGTGTCATTGAATTGGCCTGGCGTATGAAAATATTTTTTGGTTAACGCAAAAAAATGTACTCCATAAAATTTGCTAACTGATAAAAACTAAACTACAAAAATATCTTATTATCATTTAAATGAATGTTTTGTGTTTAATATAACTTAACAATGATCGTGAAGTGAAAATAAATATTTTTAACATTGTCTGGTTTGTGTTATAATTGCCGCCACCTTGTTTACATTGGTTATAAAAGTAGTTCCGTCAATGTCGCCTATTAAAAAATAAATAACTTCAAGAGCCACTCTCGACCAATCATATAAAGGTATTCCCTAATATGCAAATCATATAAGAAGTATAAGCAACAATAGAACGGAAGAAATGAAATGGAAATAATTGTTAATAAATAAATACATATATCAACCAGGGTACTAAACTAGCATTCCAGTCAACAAGATATTCAGATATAGCAGAAATAAATCACAAATGAAGAATATTATTTTGAACATAAATCTGTTATACTTTATCAGTTTAATATTTCAAATGAATAGTGTCATACCTGTCAACTGACCTGTATCCTTTTTTTTAAATACACGTCGGGTTGTTAAATAACCCGGGAATTCGGAAAATGACCCTTTTCACCCGGATTCTCGATCCTTTAGACTGATTTCATAAGTGATTTTCTTTTGAAATACCGGAAAATTTGTAATTCTTCCTGGACAGGAAGTTCAACTAGCTGTTTTAACTGTCAAATTAAGTGACCTATTAAGTGCATGGTTTCACGTGACAGCTTTGGTGTCAAACACACTGTTAATTAATCCCAATCACAATTTAGCCTAAGGTCATAAATAACTTGTCTATTTCAAAGTTGTTTGACAAAAAAATTGAGTTATTTTCCCTTTTGTGTTACGTTTCACCATGTACTCCTTAAATATATGTTTTTCTTTTGGTAAACAGATTAAATCTAACATTGAATGCAAATACATATGGGAATATTTATATAACTATCTATTATTATTCTACCTAAGGACAATTAAAAATTTAATATTTGAAAATTATTTTGTTCATCTCTACTTCCTTTAAATGCTTAATTTTTTTATCATATTCAAATATCAACTGCTTACATGGAAAAATTCCAGACCGTGCAAGACTCTCATGGGTAGTCAAGGTCGTTAAAAAACCCTCATCGTCATCATGGAATACTATATGCAGCTGAACATTTTGATCCATATTGTTAATCATGTTAAATAGAGGCAAAGCAAAAGATACCAAAGGGACATTCAAACTCACAAGTCGAAAATAAACTGACAACCCCATGGCTAAAAAAGAAAAAGACCAACAACAATAGTACACAAAACAAAACACAGAAAACTAAAGACTGAGCAACACGAACCCCACCAAAATCTGGGGGTGATCTCAGGTGCTCCGGAAGGGTAAGCAGATCCTGAATTGATTTAATACTAAGAATGAAGCAAGAAGAGGGGTCATGACCTCTAGTTGATATAGTATAATACAGTAATATGTCAATGGCTTATCAATGCTACGTAAAAATAAATTTAAAGTTTTAAATTATTTTTAGTTAATACTTAACCATGTGAACATGTTTTGAAAACTGTTCGATTTAAAACATAAAAAAATGTCCCCTAAATACTTAAATTCAGCTGAAAAAAAGTTTGTACACGTTATGACCTGAGATTTTCTTCTTCAATGCAGATCATGACCCGCATTTTCATTTTCATAGGTTGACAGGTATGTAGTGTTAACATGGATCAATTTGTTTTCTTACCTGTCCCTTAAGTCATTGATTTCTCTCTTCAGATCAGATATATCATTCCTATACTTCCAGCAGTTCTGGCAATTCTTTGGGTCAGCTACTACTACAGGAGAACGCCGTCTGTAACATACAAGTATATAAGATAAAATACATCTACTTCATTTGATCTCTGGTGGATAGTTGTCTCTTTGGCAATTATACCACATCTCCTTATTTCATATAAAGGATGTATTCTTCTGATGTTTCAGTCTCCTTGAAATCTGGTTCGGGAATTATTTTCAAAACATGTGATACAAGTGAAAAATATCATTGAATTCAAAAAAATTATTATAATCAAACTGAACCATGTGATAAAAATGTACTTACAATAAGTAGTTTTTGAGTAATAAAATTTTCAAATTTTATAACCAATCCATGGCCAGTCAGTGTCATCAGCCAAAATGTTGAGAAAATGGGTGAGGGGTACAAAGAAATTATTTTACCAAAAATATGTACATCCCATATCATTATTTTCTTTTCAAAATTCTTAGATATGTATTTGTTCAATCATTTATAACAAAGAAGTTGAAATAATATGCTTTTTGTTACCTGTCCCTAAAAGGTTTGATTGAAATACGCCTATATTTGCTAAAACCTTAATGGTTTTGCAACTGTTTTTGCCTTGATATTTTTCTATGTTTTGTGGCAAGTTATTAAGACTTATATTAAAGACAGATACACATTTAATGTCATATGTATACGTCTCATGTAAACTTTTTAAGTATGTGCAATAGGAATCATAAATTTGTATTTGTAAACCACTTATAAAATAATGTGTACCTTAGTCGGTCCTCAAGTTCTAAATTCTTGTCTTTTAAGGATTCAAGTTTATTATTTAGCGTATCATAATTCTGTTTTTGAGAAATCATTTGAGTGTGCAATTGCTGATTATCCTTTTTCATTTTTTGTGCATTTGAATCAGCATTTTGCAATAAGCCATCCTTGTGTCTACATCTAAAATATGAGATAGAAGATAAATATTTAAAAAACATGTAAATAATGCTTTAATACATCAAATAAATGTATACCAGGTACCCCAATAGTATCTACTAAATGATCAAAACATGCATAACAGAAAATGTATCAACATTAAAGCAATTTTAAGCAAAAGGGCCTTTTCAATCTGAGAATTTTCTGAATTTGGTGATAAAACACACCCTATATCTAATTCAGCTTTCAGCCGATCCAAAGCAAAGTGATAATTTTAGTAATATTTTGAAGATGTCAACCACAGTAGAAGAAGTTTGGTGACCTGTGTGACAAGCACCATTTTTGTTTATTACGGTTATCCTTTTTATGTATAATATACTTGATAGTTTCTACATTTATAGCACAAAAACATCACAAATAAGTTATTCTTGATCTATATAAGTAATAGCAAGTGACAACACTTAATATTTACTATATTTTGTTTAACTATAATGGAAGAACTTGTAATTAAGCTTTGCAATGAATTCAGAACAGTAATAAAACTATAGATAAAATAGGAAACACTTGTTTTTGCATTTCATCTCAACTCAAATAAAGCCATACTACCATTGTTCAATAATTTTCTTTAACCAAATAATATTTGATGTAATGAAGACTTAAATATTGCTGATCATACATCAATGTACAAAAATTAAAAAAAAAAATAACAAATGAAGAACGGTATAAAAGTGATACTCTCTCAATACAATCATATGAGTGCTTAAAAAATTAAACAAGCAACTCAGAGGCTCAGAGGCGGATTTAGGGGGGGAAAGGGGGGGGGGGGGGCCCTTTTGTGGGAAAAATTTGGTTGATTATATAGGGAATCACTGAAGCATGACTGGAGCGGGCCCACTCTTAGGCAGTCAGTGGGCCCCCACTTATGAAAATTTTTGGATCCGCCACTGCAACTAACAATAGACCTTAAAAAATAGGCTGTTTTTTGCACATGTATCAATAAAAATATGAAGAAAATAGCATTTACCTTTTCTCTAACTCTGCATTGTCTGTCTGTAGGTTTTCTATTCTTCTTTTTGTTGACGGTATTCCTTCAAGTTCTGCTGCATATTCTTGTAACCTTTATACAACATGAGGGTTTATGAATACCATGAAACAAAACAAAATGTGTAAGAAATGTACTATAGTCAAGATTTATTAAAGTTAAAATGTTTGAAAATAACTCTGCATAATCAAGTTAAAAAACCTATGTGTAAATTTCCGTTTATGTTTCCTGCTTTTATCTGAAACATTTCTGATACTTTGTTGGTATCTTATAATTATCACAATGAAATATATGTGCTGATATAAGCAAACTCCATCAACCTCTTATTTTCATAATTCAGGAAGCTAAGTATGTAAGTTGAATTATTTTCACAGCTGATAGTGAATACAAATTAATGTCAAGTTCATCATTCAACACTCTTTGGAATCTATTTTTGTAAGTAGAATTGTGAATATGCTTAGTTTTGTGCAAAGTTTCCTATATTATTGTTGTAACACGTGTAATGATGAAAATTTAACATGTAGTAACACTGTATAACATTATATGCAATGACAAACTAACAGTCGTTTAAATATTGAATGTAAGATTTCAAAGGAAATATGAATTATAAAAATAAATATACCAAATATTTATTCTAATTTTTTATATTTAAGCATGTTCAATGTAATTTGCTTCATCTGTGTCTCTTAAAAAGTTATGCAATCACTATCAATCAAGGTTTTTTGCAACAGAGATAGTAAAAAAAGCAGAAACATTCAAGGTTTGTAATTATATAAGCAAATTTTGAGGCAGGAATGCAATTCATTTGTAAAAAAAATCATTTAAATGAAAATTATAATGTGAATTTATCAAATTATTTTCACTACTTTAAAATAAAAAGAGACTATTCATTGATGGATTCATTTCTAAACTTTGCTTCATAAAAGGGGGGGTGTGGAGTCAGATGTATAAAGGAATGTACAGTAGCGTTTCTATTTTGTATTGTAGTACGAAAAAAGTATGATTTTTAGAAGCACATTGCACGAGTTATCTTCTGATATATGAAGTCAAAATTTTTAATATATTTTTGAAAAGAGCAGGATATAAACTACATTTAGCCATAGTATAAAAAAAAAACTGTCATCTTTTCATACATGTGACAGAGTTGTCAAGTCGCAACTGGAGATTTGAAAATTTTCAGCTGAAGTTTGGGCCTCATAACTGGAGATTTTTTATCGACATATTTAACGCCGTTTTCAGTGTTCATTTTGATGATAAAGCTACATATTTCCCCTTTTTTCAGATAACAGTTTAACTATTAATGTATTCTCTCTGTATTGTTACCATGTGAAATATTTGTCAACACTAAGATATACTATTTGTACGTGATTTTTCTCATTTCCTCATCGTGTATTTATTTATGTGTTTTTAAGTGTTAGGGAGCTACCATTTGATTTTTATGGGGGGGGGGGGGGGGGGGGCTAGGATGAAATTTGAAAAAAAAGGCAGGACAGGAGTTTTGAGCAGGATGACAATTTATGTAAAAAAAAGTCAGGATAAACTAAAAAAAATAAGGCAAGACCGAATAGAATGAAAAAAAAAGGCAGGACAGAGATTACAACTAAAAAAAAATGCAGGACAAAATTTTTCATCCTAGCCCCCCCCCCCCCCCCCCCCCCCCCCCCCCCCCCCCCATAAAAATCAAAGTAGCTCCCTTAATCCACTTTTCTATCTAGTTCTCATTTAGCCAGATTTAGCATAAACACTAAAAAAATCGTTAACATATCTATCGGGTGGTTTTTAACGACGAAGGCGTTTGGTGAGCGTTTAAATATTTTGTTGACAAAATGCAGGAAAAGATGAAAAGGACGGCCGCCATTTTGGTTTTGGTATGATCTTTTTGTTTGTTGACTATTTTGGTTAGTTTACTTCCTTCACAACGGCTGCTTTCAGAGCCAGGTTTGTCAGCTGTGCAGCCCGCTAACCACGATGACGGAGTACTGGTCGATGAGTCTCGGACACAGTAATAACGATGACAGGAAGCTTTATCAGGACCAATGTCCTAAGACAGTGAAATGGCGGTCAATTATCTAACACGTAGGATACAGGCCCTCGGACGTCAGTTGGCATATCACTCCCACATCCATAATGGGTTTTGGAGTGTATGCTGACGCGGGTATTTACATAGACCACAATGTAGACTGTACAGCGTGGGATTGGTTTCTGTCATCGAAAGTAGTAAGTCTTTGAGCCATCTATCAGTAAACCGACATCGCAGATAGTGGGTAAAGAGGAGCTGACCGAGCATGTCCGTTCAGTTGTAATGACTGAGACGTGACTGATGTGATTGATGTTTCATATAAGTTTCACAAAATTCTGGCAATAATTGAACACATGAGGGCTATAACATTGCAATTTTCCATATTATCAATATTTTCAAGGGGCATAACTCTTTTAAAAATAATTGGTCGGCACTGATTTTTGAACTCTTCAAATACATTGATGATATATACCTATAATATAAATTTCATAAAAATCTGGCAAGAATTGAACACATTAGAGCGCTCATAAGATATAGATTTTGAGGTTAAACAGTGATTTTGATCTAACCCAATCTTAATAGAATTAATGTACAATCAATCAGTAAATTATGTTCAGTCTTTCAGTCAATTTTAAGATTTTCAAAATTTAAAAATAACCCCAAAAACATAAATGTTATTAGACATAAAGCTAGGCAAGCCTAACATACAAATTAACTGCCTTAATTATACATTGTAGATATAAATGCAAAATTCTTTATGGATATTATTTGCTATAATAAAGCAAAAACGTTATGTGGTCAAAACTATTTATGTTATTTGGTGAACTAGGAAACAGTTGAAAGGAATTACCAATAAATTAGTAATTCCAATTTGATTTTGTACGTACCTGGATTCGGATTCTTTAAGTTGAATTAATAAATTCTGAACATCTTCTTTTAGTTTTTTATTCTCCTTCTGTATACCAATTTTTTCTTCTTTGCTGTACATAATCCTAAAAGTCAGTCAGAATAGGAAATTAAGATGTGAAATAAGTTAATTACACTTAACATGTGTGTGTGCATTTAATAAGACAGTCTAATTACTGACTAACATACATACTTCATCAATATTGTATAGCCTTGCAATTACATAGATGAAATCAATATAAATTCTCCAATGTGTTTAAAGATTAATAAGTATTTTGAGCAATTTGAATAAATCTTCATTATTAAATTATTGGCATTACCCATGTATAAAAATAATAATTAATATAAGGAAGAACTGAAATCCTAAATTCCTTTCAAGAAAGAAAATACTGAAAATGAATGAAATGTACTCTAAACATTAAAAATGTTTGTATAAATCACTGTTTTGAAAAGATAGTTTTTCTCAGATCAAACAGTGCAGTTGATTATTAATGAAAAACATCTTGTCTGTTTCAGAAAAGTCCTTAAAAAGAAAAAAATATTTTTCAATTTTAAGCTCACTTTTCTTCGTCTGTAAGTAGTCTTTCCTTTAATTTATCCAATTCCTCCTTATTCCTTTCTAACTCTTCTAGGGAATGTAAAGCAATATTCAACCTAGAAAAATTTAAAAGCACAATAGCATCTCAAAGATAAAAAAATTTACAACCCTGTTAAATTCAAACCAAAATCAAGAATTTGGGGGGGTACCTGCCCTCCCTTATGGAGAGCTCTACATTCATGTTTAATCCAGACTTTTAACCGGTTCCAATCCAAACTTAGTCTAATTTTGCGGCCTGTGGGCCCACACTTTTTCAAAATCCTTAAACCACATCTGTTTATCCACACTTAAATGCTCAAGTAATCAGTCTTCAATATCACAAATCAATAAAGAGCTAAATTAAGACTAGTCAGACAAGAACTTAATATCTGATGCTCCATATGTGTTTGATCTAATATTGCAGATTGAGAAAATAAATATGTACTCGAAATGAAATGTAAAATTGAATGTTATCTAATAAACAATCGACAAACTTAACATGACTAGTATTTAAGAAATTTTGTTTAAGGGTAATTGTTAAATAACAACAAATTTGTTTATGTAAATTTTTGTGATAGGTTCACATTTACTACGTACCTGTGCTTCAATGATGCATTCTCTGTGCGAAGACTGATAATGTCTCCACTTTCCTTTTCAAATGAGGATTTCTTTAGTCTGCATGTAATGATACAAAATGCAGTGAATTAATCATTGATTAAGATAGAGATGAGATCCATATAAAAGGTTTAACTAATAAACGTTTCCAATTGAGTATTTCCTGGATTATCTTTTTTATGCAGCACATTGCTATATAACAATTCATTTTAATAAAGATCTAAAAGTTTATTATATTTATTCAATTATTAATCTGTTGGTTGTTTTGCTCTATAGGTTTTAAGCAAAATTATTGAATTTCTTAGTAAAATTAATTTGCTTTGCTTCTCTCCTAAAGTAAAAATGGGAATTTACCGTATCAAATCCTGACTGCAAGTTTGACTGATTCTAGCACACTTTTTATCACAATTTATTGGTAAATACCAATTATGCACTAACTTGGTCATTACAGAATGTGAATATTATAGTCTCAAGTTATCCAAGTCCTATATATACTCTTAAAGACAAACAATTATCACTTTACTTATGTATTACCTATTTCACTCAACTGTAAACTTTTCTGGAACTGAATAACATGTGGAAATTACACAATATGTTATTATTTTTTTTTGTGCTGTTCCCTCAGTGAACAATGGTGAAGATGACAACAATGTTAATGACATCTTACATACAAAAATCATTGTGGATTTAGCATTCAAATTACCTTAATTCGCTTTCTATTTTGTTTTTCTCATTTTCTAAAGATTTCATTTCTCCACATATTTCTTTTATGTTTTTTCTCTCTTCTTCAATTTGTTCACGGAGTTCTTGAACATTCCTCTCAGCTTCAAGTCCTGTGGCTCTAGCACTGTTGTATCTGTGATGGTCAAATGTGTGAGTTAATACATGTGTTTTTTTATTTACCAAACTTTTAACAGAAGGGATAAAAAAATATTCAAATTATGGTTATAAAGACATGAAGTTATATTATAAACGATGCAATACTTTAGCTGCTATTAATCATTCTATAAGGAATATTTCAAGTTGTCAACCTGTGCAATTGGTCTAGAAATGAAATAAAGGTACAAAAGTTTGTATCATAGAGAGAAGAGAAAAAAAAGTCTAAAACAGTATGTATACGTATCCATCATACTTTGGTTGACTGTTATGGAATTTCTGTGTTACAATATGTTCTACTTATCATAGCCACAATCCTGTATTCATTGCCTCATTTGTGACATTACAAAATGTGACTTGTCATTGAATTTTTACACTTCAAGGAGCAATATGACAGAGGCATATAAAAATAAGGAGATGAGGTATGATAGCCAATGAGACAACTTTCCACCAAAGTTCAAATAAAGTGGATGTAAGCAATTATAGGCAACCGTATGTCCTTCAACAATGAGAAAAACTCATACCCTATAGTCGGCTATAAAAGGCCCTGACATAAAAATTATGAAACAATTCAATTGAGCAAACTAACGGCCTGCAGTGCAACAGGAACTGCTTAGCCATATGCATCCAGTGCAACTAAGTTCACTTCCTTTTTTTAATGGGTGTTGTCAATTTTGGTTTAATTGCCCCTTGGTTTCTTGTACCAGGGTGCAATGTTTAAGTAAAAATCATGTGAGGAATCAATGCCATGACTTCAAAACTGTGGGTAGATGGTAATTTTAGGGAAAATCTTGTCAGGTGCACTACTCTGAAAAGACAAAAGGTGTCCATTTTTTGTATTATATCCCTTCCACATTTAATTTACCACTCTTTAGTCTTTTCACTTTATGAACAAAAATGCTATGTTTCCTATATAATCTTTTGTAGAATATAATCCACAACTGTACATTTTATCTCTATATAAATGACATTTGTGAAATATACAATCAATACCTTCAAAGACAAAATATACATGTTCTATAAAATTACATGTGGGAGTACTATACCTGTCCTGAAGAGCTTCAAATTCTTGCCTTGACCTTGCCAGTTTCTGTTCATATTCTTCACAATTTTTGCATCGCATACCTTCTCTCTTTAATGTGCTGTAATTATATTTTAATTTTTTGATTGCAAATAAATATATCTACATTTATCAACAAGTGATACAATATTAAATCTACATGAAGAATATTTATACATAATCGTCATTTGAAATGTACATGGTTCAAAAGTTTGATATGATGAACAAATTTATGATCCTTTATAATAATATCAAAGCCACTCTCAAACATTTTAGACTAAAATTTAATTCATGACTGACATCTCTTTTCTTATCTGTATACAGTTTATTTCTATCTTCTTTAATTTTTGCACAAAACACAAAAAAATAGTTAAAATCTTCTTTCAAAGGTAATATTTCCTTGGAAGAAGTGGACTGACAATTTTTGCCTTGTTGACGTATTTGATGATCTTATTCCATATTTTTTGCTCATAATTTGAAAAAGGCTAACATTTTTTATATAAGGGCAATAGCTCTTATGAGAAATCAACTGACAATTTGGGCTGTATTGATCTATTTGATCTACAAATACATCAATGTGTCAGAAATTTTCAGTCGACTCCTTATTTCTGTTATTGCCATTTATAAATTTTTTACCCATTTTGGCATTTTATGTGAAAATATAATAGATAAAGAAAAACTGTTAACAGCAAAACTGATCAGCAAGACAAGATAGATATTGTCCTGCTGTTCATTTTTGCTATTTAAATCTTTTCTCTATCATAATAAAAGTATTTAAAATCATTTTTAGGGGCAAATAACTCTTATAAAGAGTATATCAATGATTTCAAACTCTTGATTTATATGGAGATCTTATCATACTGCTCATTTTTTGCTATCTAAAGTTTCTCAGTATCTAATTTAGCATTTTATATAATAGGCATATATAATATTGAAATGAAAAAAAAGGTAAAAATCATCTTTCAAACTAAGGAGTCGTCTGACAATATTTGTCAAATAGACAGTAGGTAGATCTTGACATTTTAAACATTTTTGCATCTGTTAGATTTTCTCTATCCATAAGAGTTTACAAGATAATAGACAAAACTAGAATTTTACTCCTATGTTCTATTTCTAGCTATGGCATCCATGTTAGTTGGCAGGCTAGATCATCCGACATAAGTTTTTGACTACATACCCAAAGAATAATTGTGACCAAGTTTAATTCCCATTGACCCAGTAGGTACAGAGGAGAAGATTCTGGTAAAAGTGTACTGACAAAAACAATGACTACGACAGAACACCAATTGATGGCAAAAGATCATACTGCCCCTTTGGGCCAGGTGAGCTCAAAAAGAAAAAACTGGGGAAAAATGTCATTTAAGGACAATAACTCTTATTAGTTGCCAGCTAACAATATTCATCATAATGGACTGATGAGTTCATCCCTTTTCAGCTGATTTTTATAGTTTTTTCTTATGTTGTACTAGCTGTGACACCACTGCCCCAGGTTAGGGGGAGAGTTTGGCGCCAGCAAACATGTTTAACCTTGCCACATGTATGTACCTGTCCAAAGTCAGGAACCTGTAATTCAGTGGTTGTCGTTTGTTGCTGTATATCATATTTGTTTTTCATTTATTGTTTTGTTCATAAATCAAGCCGTTCATTTTCAGGTTTGAATTGTTTTATATTTGTCATTTGAGGTGCCTTTTATAGCTTACTATGCGGTTTGGGTTTTGCTCATTGTTGAAGGCAGTATGGTACTCTCTAGTTGTTAACTTCTACGTCATTTGGTTTCGAGCGGAGAGTTGTCATTTTGGCAATCATATCACATCTTCTTATTCTTATATTGACAGTAGATCCACAGATTTTCTCTATTTATAAAGAGCTTCAAAATAATAAAAAATACTTGACAGTTATTTGGTTGGCTCGCAGGATCATAAAACACTTTTTTAAACTAGATACCACAAGGACAATTATTCTTAAATTTGATTCCATTTAAACCAGTTGTTTCAGAAAAGATTTTTTTTTCAAAAGTACAGGATATTGCCAAGTGATAAGAAAAGCTCAATTGGCCCTTTTTAAGTTAAAAATTCAATGTGATCCACAAAAGAATATATGGTTTGAAAAGTCATATTGTGTTTTAATAATAATAATAATAATCTTTATTTCAAGAGAGTATGCTCAATTAGTACAAACACTATTTTCCCTTGAGGCGCTCACACTCTACTCACAATGCATCACACAATTTCTTCATAACAAAGATAAACATAAGAAAACATATTCAAAATTGATACATAATCATTTAAATAATTCCTGGATTTTCAAGTAAAAACTTAAAGCAGTTTTTTTTAAAGTATTTATGTTTGACATGTGTCTTAGTGCTTCTGGTAGTTTATTCCATAAAGTTGGGCCAGAATATGAAAAAGATCTTCTAAATGTGTTTGTTCTTGCCTTTGGTATATTAAGTAATTGGGTAGTATTTGATCTTAGTTGCATTCCATTTTTATTTGTAACATAGGAGATTTTGTTAGACAAATATTCTGGGACAGATCCAGATAAACATTTATGAACATATAAGGCCTTGTGGTAAATTGCACGATCAGTAAATCGAAGCCATGATAACTTTTTAAACATTGTATTAGATGGGGTATCATAAGGAAGTTCAAGAATAATTCTAGCTGCTCGTTTTTGAAGTTTATCTAATCTATTTGTATTTTGGTCACTGGTGTTCCCCCAAATTGTACAACAGTAATCCAAAATAGGGAGAATATAACCATTAAAGTATAACTTTCGTGTTTCCAGGGGGAGGGATTTCTTTATCCTTGACAAAAGATTTAGCCTGGTACTGATTTTTGTGCACAAAGTGTCAATTTGAGCTGTCCACTCAAGATTTTCATCAATAAAAACCCCTAGGAGCTTTTCGCCATTAACATCTCTAATGTGGGAGTTACCAACAGTCAAATTAAGAACATGGTCTGTTTTTGCTAGTTTCTGTCTATAACCAATAACCATAGATGTAATATTTGTTGGATTTATATACATCATATTTCCCTTGCACCATTCTTCAATTCTGTCTAAATCATTTGTAATGCTGTCCTGGATGGTATTGAGACTACGACCTGTGCAGTGAATGATAGTATCATCTGCATAGAGGTCTGCTTGAGATGAGGTTATATGAAGGGGCAAATCATTAATGAACAATAAAAATAAAAGGGGGCCTAATATGGAGCCCTGAGGTACTCCAGATTTTATTTCTAGTGCCCTTGACTTGATTGTCCCATTTTCAACTTGTTGGAATCTATGAGATAGATATGATTTAAACCAGTTACATGATAAATTTGAAATTTTGTAGCACTGCAGTTTTTGAAGAAGGATTATGTGATCTACCAGGTCAAATGCTTTTTTAAAATCTAGGAAGATAATACCTATAATTTCTCCATCATCAATGGCTTTCAACCACTGATCAATAAGATTTAGTAAAGCAGTGTGACAAGAGTGGTGGCTTCTAAATCCAGACTGACTTGCATGAAGGAGCTTATATTTCAATAGGTATCGGTAAAGGTGTTTGCAGACATGCTTTTCAAAAATCTTTGAAAGAGTAGGCAAAATAGATATTGGTCTATAGTTGTCGACAGTATCTTTTGGACCCTTTTTATGACTTGGCATGACACGGGAATCTTTAAGCTCAGAAGGAAATATACCAGCAGTGATACTCCTATTTATAATATAAGCTATTGATGGTGAAATAACTTCTGATGATAGTTTAAGTATGCGAGGACTGATCTGATCAATGCCTGTAGCTTTTGCAACATTTTAAATTGCTAAGGCAGTCCTTAACTTCTGCAACTGTAATCAAGGGGATGTAAAACCAAGTATCTTGAGGTACTTTTGCTGCTACCTCCTCATAAATCTTATTACTATCAAATTTGTATGATTTAGATGTTGATAGGCTGTCTTTCGGGGCAATATTTATAAAATGTTTGTTAAAAGCATTAACTATATGCTGAGTTTCTGTGATAACACCATTGTGTATCTTAAGTTGTGATGGAAAAGGAGAACTTTTAGTTTGGTTGAGCCCCTTGACATTTTTCCATAATTCTTTTGGATTTTTAGCCTGTTCAATAGATGTTTTATTAAAATTGTTTTTTGCATCATCTATAAGTGATGTGCTTTTGTTCCTCCAGAACCTGTATCTGTCTAGATCATGCTTTTTATGGTAATAATCCCTGTTTTGTCAGGCAGTTCATATTTCAGGGGTTAACCATTCTGGCCTTTGAACATTTTTGACTCGCTTTGTTTTTGTTGGAGCATGCTTATTTAAAACATTATTGAAAAGAGAATACCAGATATTTAAAGCTTTGTCTGTGTCATGTTCTTCTTTCACAGTATTAAATGGTTTACATTGAAGTTCTTTTATAAAATTCTCTTCATTAAACTTTTTAAAACATCTATAAGTTATGATCTTGTGGCTAGAATCAGGTATTTCTTTAACATTTGTTTTTCTTGTAAGGCATACTGGGTAATGGTCACTTAATGCCAAATAAGGTACATATGTTTCAATTATATTATCGGACTTATTTGTATATATATGGTCAATGATCTTTTTACTTTTATATGTTACTCTTGTTGGATTATCAATGAGTTGTGTAAGACCATAGCACTGTATCATATGGGACCATTTGTTGTTACTACATCCTTGAGCATAGTCAATATTTATATCACCCATAATAATAATTTCTAAATCTAAGCTTGATGCTTTACTTATTTCTAATTCAAAAGCATCTATCCAGTCTACTTTCATATCAGGTGGTCTGTAAACTGAACACAAAAGAATAGGTTTTGTGGATGGAAAATTGATCTGAAGCCAAATTGATTCAACATTACCAATCTCTAAGTCTTCTCTCCTTTCATATGCCATTAAGTTGTTTATATCAACTAATACCCCACCCCCTGTTTTGTCTTGGGTTTCATGTCTATCTCTTCTTATTATGTCATAACCTTTTACTTCAATTAAATTATCACCTAATTCTGGATTTAAGAATGTTTCACACAGGCCCAAAATATGTTATGTTTTGAATGTAGATAGCTATTTATTAACACCATTTTGCTATTCAATTTATAACTGTTGAAAATTTAGTTGAAATGTCTAATTTATATTGTGTATTTGTCAAAATTCAAAATACCTTTCTTTAAATTCCAAAATCTGTATCTGCGTCTTGAGTTGTTTTAGCTTTCCTTCATATTCTTCACTAATCTTTCTGTTGTGATTTTCAGTTTCCCTGTAAATAGTAATTAATGAATGACATAACTTCCAAAATATTTCCCCTTAAGTTTTCCTCAGGCTATAAATTCTGTCCTGAAACATGTGAAAGGTAAAGTTACTTAAAAATTTTAGAAGAACCTAAATTCACTTTCCATTTCATCATTCCTAAATGTGTTATATGTATTACCAGTAACTTAATATTTCAATTTAAATGTCACATTAAAATCGGGGTCAAAACCATAATTTGGACTATTATCTTAAAAGTGCACATAATAATTAACAAGTTTCAAGTTGATGTGACCACAACTTCATGGTAAACTACCTTAACTTAAACAAGAAATGATTGTAACAGGATGCTGTTACGAAGTCTCCCAAACGAAGCTCCAATAATTCGTAATTCCCAGGGTCGCCTGACATTGGGCAACGTCCAGTGAAAATTGGTTTGGTCCAGTAAAGTTATATGCATTAGTGATGCCTGGGGACTAACCTTGTATATCATTCAAATCATCTTGGCATGACAAACCAGAATATATATGGTTTAGGGGTGGGGATCTCGACCATTTACAAGATACTAGAACATTGGGGGTGGGGAGGAACCCCTGGGGACTGGCCCTATACGTCATTCAAATGTTCATTACATGACGAACAGGAATATATATGGTTTAGGGGTGGGGATCTCAACCATTTACAAGATATTAGAACATTGGGGTGGGAGGAACCCCTGGGGACTGAACGTATACGTCATTCAAATGTTCGAGACATGACAAATAGGAATATATATGGTTTAGGGTGGGAATCTCAACCATTTACAAGATATTAGAACTTTCTCAAATGGCAGGGGGTCGGGATGACCCCTGGGGACTAACCCTGTTTATCATTCAAACCATCTTCGCATGACAAACCAGAATATATATGGTTTAAGGGTGGGGATCTTGACCACTTAGAAGATATTAGAACTTTCTTAAATGGCAGGGGGTGGGGGTGACCCCTGGGGACTAACCCTGTATTTCATTTGATGTGCTTTATCATGGCAAACCAGAATATATATGGTTTAGGGGTGGGGAATTCGACCATTTACAAGATATTAGAACTTTCTCAAATGACAGGGGGTAGGGAAGACCCCTGGGGACTAACCCTGTATATCATTCAAACCATCTTAGCATGACAAACCAGAATATATATGGTTTAGGGGTGGGGATCTTGACCACTTAGAAGATATTAGAACTTTCTTAAATGGCAGGGGGGTGGTGACCCCTGGGGACTAACCCTGTATTACATTTGATGTGCTTTATCATGACAAACTAGAATATATATGGTTTAGGGGTGGGGATCTCGACCATTTACAAGATATTAGAACTTTCTCAAATGGCAGGGGGTCGGGATGACCCCTGGGGACTAACCCTGTATATCATTCAAACCATCTTAGCATGACAAACCAGAATATATATGGTTTAGGGGTGGGGATCTTGACCACTTAGAAGATATTAGAACTTTCTTAAATGGCAGGGGGTGGGGGTGACCCCTGGGAACTAACCCTGTATTACATTTGATGTGCTTTATCATGACAAACCAGAATATATATGGTTTAGGGGTGGGGATCTTGACCATTTACAAGATATAAGAACTTTCTCAAATGGCAGGGGGTCGGGATGACCCCTGGGGACTAACCCTGTATATCATTCAAACCATCTTAGCATAACAAACCAAAATATATATGGTTTAGGGGTGGGGATCTTGACCACTTACAAGGTATTAGAACTTTCTTAAATGGCAGGGGGTGGGGGTGACCCCTGGGGACTAACCCTGTATTACATTTGATGTGCTTTATCATGACAAACCAGAATATATATGGTTTAGGGGTGGGGATCTTGACCATTTACAAGATATTAGAACTTCTCAAATGGCAGGGGGTCGGGATGACCCCTGGGGACTAACCCTGTATATCATTCAAACCATCTTAGCATAACAAACCAAAATATATATGGTTTAGGGGTGGGGATCTTGACCACTTACAAGGTATTAGAACTTTCTTAAATGGCAGGGGGTGGGGGTGACCCCTGGGGACTAACCCTGTATTTCATTTAATGGGCTTTATCATTTAGAACATTTTCAATTAAAAAGATTGTGTCTATCACAAACGGTTTTCAATTTATAATCATTTGAAAATTTTAAAAAATAAAATCCCATAGGGTTCTATAGTAAAACCCTCTTTTCTTTTTGCCCCTCAAAGTACCCCTTTATAAACCCCATTGCACAAACAAAACCCTGATTGCACCACTAGACATGTTAGTCTAACTTATTGTGAAACCCTAAGTTAATCTGACAAGCGGTTTTGGAGAATGTTCAAATTTAAAAGGGGCGGAAGAAGAAGAAGAAGAATAATAATAATAAGAACTGAGCAAAAACAATAAGTCTTCCCAAACTTCGTTTGGGAGACTTAAATATAAACCTGATATGGGACGGATGAATGGACAGACAGAATATTAAACGGAATAATGTATCAACACACAAACCAGACTATCATAAGTTAGGCATATAAACAAACATTGTTTATGTTGCAATGACTTACTTCAATTTTCTTTCTAAGTCTTCACAATCATGGTTTACATCTGATAAATCTTCCTCAAGCTGTAATTTCTGTTTCTTACATATCTCGTTGTCATTTTTAAGTTGCATGAATTCATATGCATTGTTTTGGTTTGCCTTTTCATCTGATGTAAATCTATCAAAAAAAATATAAAAATTTTCAATTGCTACCAGTCTCTGCCATGTGTATCTATGAACTTGACTAATATAAGCCTGTGGATCAAAAAAGTAAAAGTTCAAATGATGTGGATTTATTAGAAATTATATGTCAGTGTTCCACCATTAACAATGAACATAGCCCATAAATCAAAGAGCAAATAAAAATCAGCTGGAAACACTATACACATTTAACATTCAAACAAAAGATATCTACTTTTCAGCTCCCCTCCCTCCTTTCTCCGAACTGCGTTTTAACTTTCATTCATACAAACAGTGGTCAATGATTCATCAAAAATGACAATCGAAGCTTCTTAAAGAATTATGTCATACCTTGAACATGTTGAATGAAGATTTTTATTTTCTCTTTCTAGCTTGTCCATTTTTTCTTTGTCTTTGTTTGATTTTTCCTTAAATACTGCAATAAGTTCTGCTTTTTCTGTCTTCAGGTTATTAAGCTCTGCTTTTCCAGAATATTTTTCTGTTTGTAACGCTTCAGACAATTTTTCCCTTTCTCTAGTCGCTGTTTGCAATTCAGTCTTTGCTGTGTTTCTCTCTTTTTTTAGACGATTATTTTCTTCTTTCAAATTTTCTAGAGTCTTGTCTTTATTCAATCTTATTGTACTTTCTGCTTCTAACCTACAATAGACCTCTCAATCAAAATCATAGCTGATACCAACAATACATCAACTCTTAGCTCACAATTGAAAAACAAGCTTTAATAAAATGCTCTGCAGGGCGCAGCTTGATACGACCGCAGAGGTCAAACCCTGAACAGTTGGGGCAAGTATGGACACAACATTCAAGCTTGATACAGCTTTGCATTTGGATTGTGATTAAATATTTGACACAGCATAGGTTTCTGACACAGAATGAATGTGGTCTAAGAACTTAAAAATTTTAAATTGGACATTCACCTATTATGGTCCAATATCCAAAATCTAAATACATGGTTAGATTCAGCATATCAAAGAACCCCAAGAATTCAATTTTTGATGAAATCAAACAAAGTTTAATTTTGGACCCTTTTGACCTCAATGTGGACAAAGTTGATAACGGGGCCCAAAAATCAAAAATCTAAATACATGGTTAGATTCAGCATATCAAAGATCCCCATATATTCAATTTTTGTTGAAATCAAACAAAGTTTAATTTTGGACCCCAATTTGGACCAACTTGAAAACTGGGCCCATAATCAAAAATCTAAATACATGTTTAGATTCAGCATATCAAAGAACCCTAAGAATTCAATTTTTGTTAAAATCAAACTAAGTTTAATTTTGGACCCTTTGGACCTTAATGAAGACCAATTTGAAAACGGAACCAAAAATTAAGAATCTAAATACACGGTTAGATTCGGCATATCAAAAAACCCCAATAATTCAATTTTTGATGAAATCAAACAAAGTTTAATTTTGGACCCTTTGGACCTCAATGTGGACCAATTTAAAAGCGGGGCCCAAAATCCAAAAACTAAATACCTGGTTAGATTCAGCATATTAAAGAACCCTAAGAATTCAAGAATAAAACCCCATTGAAATTGGTCAAGAAATAAGCAATTTATACAAAGTATCTTCTTTTGCACAATACTGTGCAATTAAATATTTCTTGCTATTGCGCAATACTGTACAATTGACAATTTCTTGCTATTGCGCAATACTGTGCTATTGGATATTTCTTGCTATTGCGCAATACTGTGCAATTGAAGATTTCTTGCTATTGCGCAATACTGTGCAATTGAAGATTTCTTGCTATTGTGCAATACTGTGCAATTGAAAATTTCTTGCTATTGCACAATACTTATTATATAATAATTTACACATCCTGTTTGGTGTGTTTCTCCTACCATATCATTATTATTTGCCTTTAAATATAAATCAGAAATAACCAACTTCAAATGGAAAATTTTAAAAGAAAAAAAAAAAGGAAAACCCCCCCCCAAATTTTTTGAACCCCCTTATGATTTAATCACCCCAAAACTCAATCCCAGCCTTCCCTTTGTGGTATGGTACCTTGCAGTACAATTTCAGAGAGATCCATACACTTGAACACAAGTTATTGTCTGGAAACTAGAAAAATGTGTTTTTTGGCCCCTTTTTGGCCCCAAATTCCTAAACGTTTAAGGCAATTACCCCAAAACTCAAACCCAGCTTTCCCTTTGTGATATGGAACCTTGTAGTACAATTTCAGAAAGATCCATACACTTACACACAAGTTATTGTCCTGAAACTAGAAAAATGCTTGTTTTTTGCCCCTTTTTGGCCCCTAATTCCTAAAATATTGAGGCAATTACCCCCATCATCAATCCCAGCCTTCCTTTTGTGGTATCATGGTACCTTGCAGTACAATTTCAGAGAGATCCATACACTTGAACACAAGTTATTGTCTGGAAACTAGAAAAATGCTTATTTTTGGCCCCTTTTTGGCCCCCAATTCCTAAACGTTTCGGCAATTACCCCCAAACTCAATTCCAGCTTTCCCTTTGTGATATGGAACCTTGTAGTACAATTTCAGAAAGATCCATACACTTACACACAAGTTATTGTCATGAAACTAGAAAAATGCTTGTTTTTTGCCCCTTTTTTGGCCCCTAATTCCTAAAATTTCGAGGCAATTACCCCCAAAACCAATCCCAGCATTCCTTTTGTGATATGGAACCTTGTGGTACAATGTCAGAGAGATCCATACACTAACACACAAGTTATGTCTGGAAGTTACAAAAATGCTTATTTTTGGTCCCTTTTTGGCCCCTAATTCCTTTACTGTTGGTACCATAACCCCCAAAATCAATCCCAACCTTCCTTTTGTGGTATTGAACCTTGTGGTAAAATTTCATAGAGATCCATTCACTTAAACTAAAGTTAGAGTGCGAAAACCAATGTGTCTTCGGACGACGCCGGACGACGACGACGACGACGCCAACGTCATACCAATATACGACCACAAAAATTTTTTTGCGGTCGTATAAAAATAATAATTATAACGCCTTTTTTTGAAAAAAAAAAAAAATATTTCCACTTAATTGTTTTACCAAAGTTAAACGCAAAGTAAACTTTCCAATAATTCTGTGTCAACAACGACCTTACTTCACAGAGACAAAATAAATTTAACAACGTTGTTCATAACAATGACATAGTCTTGACAAACTGTCTCAAGATAGATGAAAGCAATATAGATCCAAAACTTTTCTTGCTTCTAAAAATTTTTTAGCAATATATTTATGTTCATCTTTTCAAAACAATGATCTGTACTGAAAGTAATACAAGATCTCAACAAGCTTATATGACATTTTGCTGACCTACCCCCTATAAATAAATTGTCATTAGTTCCCAGCCCTTGTAACTTAATCAATTTTTAAATTCAATTCAATTCAAATCTTTATTGCCATTACACCATACATTTATAGCATGTGACACAACATAACAAAATAAAAATAAACATTATCAACAAGATCATTTATATACATAATGAAAGTAAATATTTCAAGAGTCCCGGGCTGTCCTCAGTTTTATAGACTGTTTTAAACAGGATCCAAGCTTATTTACCTGAATGTGTGAACTTGGGTTGAGTATATATGTAATTTTATTTAAATCTTTTAAATGAAATAAGCCAAATGCAGTTCAGTATTTAGAGGCTCCAGATGCTTTCTTTCTACATATCTTACCAATGTTTTATATACAAACGTTAATTTATTTTTTTTCACTTTCAGGTTTTATTCATTGAAAATTTATACTTACTTTGCTTCCAAAGTTGTAAAATCTGACTTTAGTGAAGCATATAATTTTTTTAATCTCTCATTTTCTGTTTGATACTGTTGAACCTTTTTCGTATCAGATTCTGTGTTCTTCATTCTGAAAACAGTCATATAAACAATAGTTTCAAATTATATGCATTTTAGAAGCAACTGATGCATGAAGCAACAAACTGAAAATCAATATTACCATGTTTGCTTCATTTTGTCTGACTATGTTCGTAACAGATAAAACCTGCATTATCTCTATGAATAGTTTGTATATTGCTACTTTCTTCATGGTTAGGGAACAATACAAAATGTTGTTTGAATACTATTTAAATTAAAGTTGCATAGAATTGAAACAAATTTAAGATCTTTTATTTGTTTGACAATAGTCATAACATCCAAGAAATACCATTCAATTAAAATTACATGAGCATTGCAGTTCTGAACTAAAGTTAGGAATGCAACAAAAATATTTGTGTTGAATGAAATGGTGTGGACAAACAATGGTTTTGCTGATCATTTTTGCTGGACTTAGGTTATATTTAGCCATGTCGGCCATCTTGGTTGACAGGCAGGGTCATCGGACACATATTTTAAACTACATACCCCAATGATGATTGTGCCCAAGTTTGGTTAAATTTGGTCTGGAAGTTTCAGAGGAGAAGATTTTTGTAAAAGTTAATTTAACAGATGACGACGATGACGAGGCAACAACTTTTGAAAGTTTCAGTATATCTATAACAAGTTCGTATATATATAGGAAAACACTTAAATTAGAAAGAAAGAAAAAGTAATTCATGGGTAATAACACCTATAAGAAGCAACTGACAATCCGACCATTCTGATTTATTTGTAGATATTGTCCAGCAGATCATTCTTGTAGATAACGTTTTCTCTCTATTTGCTATATTTACTGCCTTGATTGGTCTCCTGCTAGCAAAGTGTATGTGCTGTGGGTTTGATAGCAGGCCAGATGAAAACAAAGACTTGAAAATTTGTATTCACTGCTTTTTGCCTAAGCATGTGACATTAATAGGATTAAGAGCAAAGACAAGTCCGCTAGTATTCAGAATATTGTGTCCAGGTGGGTGACATGTCAGATGACTACATCATTACATATTTATAATTCTTTTCTAGCTGATCATTTAAAGTTTCTCTTTACCTATAACAGTTTTCAATATTATATCTAAAAAAAAACAAGACAAAGATAATATGTCCCTGCTGCAAGCATGCATATAGTGGCACAAACATTTGATTTAGTAAATAGTGATGTTGAAGTACAACTTGAAATGTGTCCAAAGCAAAAAGAGATGAACATTCTGGCGTTAGTGAAAATTCAAAGGAAATCAAAATTCTGATAAATTGATAATATGCACACCCTTAATCATAATAATATATGTAACCATCGCTTGTATTATATAACAATTCTAGCCTGAAAAAGTTTTGTTTATACATCCCTTTAGAGCTTAAAAAATTCCAATTATATTTAGGTATATTTTAGCTGTTCCAAATCTTATATTAACCTGTCTTGATTTTCCCCCCTCTGATAATAATTTTGTTTTTTTCTTGAATATGCACAACTTTTATATTTTTACAAGCACTCAGCATAATATAAAAGTTTCAGGTGCCCTGCATGCTTAATTTCAAAAAGAATTACACAAAGTTAAAACATTCTGTCTGTGTTAAATTTAATGATAAATTAAATCCTAATAATATGCAATTTATTTTAGTATACATTTGTATGTACTGATATCCTACATAATATATAATTTCTAGCTTTAAAATTGTTGAAGAAGTTAGCCAGACAAACCATGTACCCTGCATGCCTAATTTTACAAAACAAATGATTAAGTTCAACAACTTGTCATTTGTGGAAAAATTTATGGGAAATCAAAATCCTGAAAAAATGCCTTTTTGACCAGGCCAGGGCTTACAGTCATAGATTACCGTACTCAGACTCAGAGATCGACCAATCAAAGTACTGGATTTGGTATTTTGAGAACAAATTTTGTGCTCCGAGTATTTTATAAAGGATTTTGACTGAAAGACCTGGTGGGTTAAAAATAAATTTCTGAACAAAGTACCTTTCATTTAATTTTTCATTTTGTTTCTCCAAGGTATATATTTTTTCTCTCAACAGCCTTTTGTCTTGTTCAAGTTGCAATTTTTGCTCATTAAGACTACTAGTTTCTTTCCTTGAGAAATCATGCTTCATATTTTCCTGAGATTTAAAACGATTCCACTGCTCCTGTAACTTCTCTATTTGACCTTTTAAGGTGGTGTTGTCGATTTCCAAAATATCCTTTTCACTTTTAAGATTTTTAATAACGTCTGTCATCTTTCTATCATCCTCTTCCAACCTAAAATAAAATTTTCATCATTATTCTAGGTTTACTTTTAGGTATTGTTCTATGACGTCAGAGGAGTGAAGTTATCAGATCTATTTCTCATGTTAAATTATCGGTTTTAATTTCACTGGGAAATCCAGTAAATCATTGCAACCAATGTAATAATTAATTTCTGTTATGATTTCAAAGGTATTAATATTTTCTTACAAAAAAATGAAAGCTCTTTCTGGCAATAAAAAATGCACTCAATTTGTAGTAACTGTGATCGTGACTTTGGATGTATAAAGCTAATTATAAATATAAGGATCAATCTCCCTACCCTTAAATATTCCATATATTCAAGTTTGGTTTTAATCTATTTTAATATAGTTTTTGTCTGGTTTTTTAAGGTATGACCATGACCTTTGACAGGATTATCTCAAAAGAGATAGAGATCTTCCTCTAATAATATGCGACCATAAATCCAAGCCCAGTTTATATCTGATATAAACTATTTCATTAAGTATCAAGAAACCATTTTACAGCTTTAGGTCTATTCTTAGTAACTTTAAGCTTAACCTTAGAGGAATAGACCTCAAACGTATGGTGAAGAGCATATGATAACAATCAATTTTATGATGTTTGAAAGCGTGCTGAGTTATGCTCTCAATAGAATTGTCGTCACAATGATGACTATGATGCGATAGGCCAAAGATAAGACAAAGTCCCATACAATTCAAATATAGGAATTGTCATATCAAATTGACAATTTGGTATGATTAACTACTTACAATGACAAACAAACAACTATGAAAGCTTATACAACTATGTTTTAAGCTGAGTTTGCAAATGAACAATGAAAACACATCAATTTCCACCAGTTTTAAGGACAGGAAACATCCATGAATAGTTATAAAAATTTACACGACAAAAAGACTTTAAGTCATTGAATCATGAAAATGAGGTAAAGGACAATGGGCATATATATGCCAGATGGAAAGCTTTATACAAAAAGTTGACACTGCTGCTGTTGCAAGATTGCATCGATATGTCTCATTTTACAACTATCTTTGCTGGCAAGATAAAAACTGATGCTGTTGATGCCACCAGAAAAGTATCACTATGTTTTTCATTCTGTGAAACTCATCATATGAAAACATCATGTCAAATACTTGTTCAAAGAGGGTATAAATCAGGCCGTTAGTTTTCTCATTTGAATTGTTTTACATTTGTCATTTTAAGGCCTTTTATAGCTTACTATGTGTTATGCGTTTTACTCATTGTTGAAGGCCATACAGTGACCTTTTGTTGTCTCATTGGCAATCACTCTTCTTTTTTTATATGAACTATTGATTAAAAAGGTTTCATATGTTTTATAAAAATTACTAACCTGTTTTCTAGGTTTTTAAATTCTTGTCTTTCTTTATTTAAACAATTCAATGTGACTGATAACTCTTCCTTTAAACTGACATTTTCCTTCTCAATATCTGATAATCGTTTAAAATTCGTAGATGATAATCTGTTGAAAGAATCAGCAATATTTATATATCAAGCTAAATGGATACTGTACAATAAACTGAACTTGATGATGATGTTGGCAATGAAAATGACAATGATGCACAGTATGGCTGTAAATCATCTAGTTGCAAATGAAATGCATATTCAGGATGAGAACATGTTAATTTAATATGAGTTTCAATCCGGTCTTGTACAGGACTGAAAAGCAGAGCCAGATAATTAATGTGCAACTTCATATGGTACAGTCTACAGGAAGACGTGTCATCTTACCTGACCACATTTTCTGACTTTGGGCTGACTAGTCTTAGCACAACTCCTAAATAACAAGTGTTTAGCTAAAAAGCGGCAAATACCAATTTTCAAGTGTTTGGTTTAACAACTCCAAGGGAGGCCAAAGATACCAAAGGGACATTTAAACTCACAAGTCCAAAACTGACAAAGCCATGGCAAAAAACAAATAATGACCAAAAGACAAACAACAGTATACAAAACACAACATAGAAAACTTAGAACTAAGCAAACAAACCCTACCAAAAACCAGAGGTGATCTCAGGTGCTTGAGAAGGTTAGAAGATTCTGCTACACATGTGCCCATCGTCGTGTTACTCATGGACGTTGGAACATATCTGTCGTCATCTTTGAAACAGATATGCAATAAAGGCAAGCCAACTTGTGATAGTGTCTGTAAAATTTTTGAAGGGATGATTTCAACATCACCACTTGTAACTCTTGGTTTAACAGCTTCCAAGGAGGGAAAAACCACCTGCACTAATTCACTCAGTCTAGAAAGCTGCCATGAGACCACCAAAGCAGTTCAAATGCTTAAATCAACAAATTAATAGAGAAACAGACTGTTTTATTATGAACAATATACATGTTTTGTAAGCATTTATAAATAAGGATATACTGTGAAAGTACTTTTTTTCGAGGGTATCAATTTTCATGGTTTGAGCAAAAGTTACATGTTCCGGGGTTCTTAAATTCATGGATTTTAGTTTCTGAAAAAAATATGGAGTGAAGAATTAGAAGTCATCAGAAACAAAGATTCTTGAAAATAATCATATGTTGTGTTATAATGCTTTGTGGACATTCCAAAATAAGGTATTCATTTTCACTTATTTGTTCGTCTTTCATAACTGACAACATTCAACAATTTTTTTTTTTTAAATAATTGCTTTTGGAAATAAGACGAAGACGAGGTTATTTTTTAACGACCTTGATTACCCATGAGGGTCTTGCACTATCGGTACTAAGCTGATTCATCTAATGCTTACAAATTGTCTCGATTGAAAGAATTTGCAAAGTAAACATTGTTATTGTTGAACACATGTAATCAAAAGTGATGACAATAATTAACCCAACTTCAAATGATCAACAGATTAACGATCATCAAAGGTGTTAATAGGGCCATAAACATGTCATTTAAAGAAAACAGTTACATAAACAAATGCTATAAATGTACTTTAAATTGTAGAATTAATTCTTATGAAAAGCAAGCCCAATATGAAATTATCATTTTTTTCCTTATGAGAGTTATAAGGAGATAAAAACTAGAGGCTCTCAAGATCCTGTGTCGCTCACCTGATTCTACTTTGGTTTTGGAAATCATGTTAAAATAGATTAAAATCATAACAGATACCCTAATAATGAGTGAGGCCAAATTTGATTTAATATTGCCCCTGTAATTTAATAAAAAAATCCTGGTGGCCATCTTGAACAGTAAATCAGCAACAAAGTAGCAACACTTCATCAGCACCTCATAAGAAACATTTATGCCATGTTTGGTTTCATTCCATTCAGTGCACCTCTAGAAGAAGCATTTGTATGTATTTCCAATAGGGTCTTATGTTAAAGGAAGTCCCCCCGCTGACGGCTATCGTGGATGAAGGATCAGCTTCAAAGTAACAACACTTAGTCAGCACCTCATAAGGAACATTCATGCCATGTTTGGTTTCAATCCATTCAGTGGTTCTCTAAAAGAAGACATTTGTTTGTATTGTCCATAGGGTCCTTTGTTAAACACTGTCCCGAGCTGGTGGCCATCTTGGAAGATGAATTGGCTTCAAAGTAACAACACTTGGTCAGAACTTCATAAGGAACATTCATGCCATGTTTGGTTTCATTCCATTCAGTGGTTCTCTAAAAGAAGACATTCGTATGTATTTCCATAGGGTCCTATGTTAAACTAAGTCCCCTGCTGGTGGCCACCTTGGATAATGGGTGGGCTTCAAAGTAACAACATTTGGTCAGCACTTCATAATGAACATTCATGCCATGTTTAGTTTCATTCCATTCAGTGCTTCTCTAAAAGAAGACATTCGTATGTATTTTCCTTAGGGTCCTATGTTACTAAAGTCCCCCGCTGGTGGCCATCTTGGATTATGGATCAGCTTCAAAGTAACAACGCTTGGTCAGCACCTCAAAAGGAACATTCATGCCATGTTTGGTTTCATTCCATTCAGTGGTTCTCTAAAAGAAGACATTTGTATGTATTTCCCATAGGGTCCTATGTTAAACTAAGTCCCCCACTGGCGGCCATCTTGGATGATAGGTGGGCTTCAAAGTAACAACACTTGGTCAGCACCTCATAAGGAACATTCATACCATGTTTGGTTTCATTCCATTCAGTGGTTCTCTAAGAGAAGACATTTGTATGTATTTCCCATAGGGTCCTATGTTTAACTAAGTCCCCCACTGGCGGCCATCTTGGATGATGGGTGGGCTTCAAAATAACAACACTTGGTCAGCACCTCATAAGGAACATTCATGCCATGTTTGGTTTCATTCCATTCAGTGGTTCTCTAAAAGAAGACATTTGTAACTATTTCCCATAGGGTCCTTTGTTAAACTAAGTCCTCCGCAGGCGGCCATCTTGGATTATGGATCGGCTTCAAAGTAACAACACTTGGTCAGCACCTCATAAGGAACATTCATGCCATGTTTGGTTTCATTCCATTCAGTGGTTCTCTAGAAGAAGTTCAAAATTTAAAAAGTTAACGACGACGACGATGACGACGACAGACGACGGATGACAGACGCCAAGTGATGAGAAAAACTCACTTGGCCCTTCGGGCCAGGTGAGCTAATAAACATGTCATCATCGCATATCATGACCAGAAATCTGACTTTCATTGATCAAAACTAGTTTGTCATGAGAATTAAAAGGTTGTAGTTTAGTTTTTCAAAGATTAAATGGGTAAAATCCTGCCTGAAGTTGTATAGTTCATAGTGCGTTTGCTGATATTATCAATGTATTCTCTAGATTATATGCCCGTATCAATGTAGAAAAATCAACATGGGGATCTTTCCATGTCTTGATTTGGACATCAGTTGTTATATTAGATTGGACACTTAAATTCCTGGATAAAGCCATCCACGAAATTCACACAATTATTGTTGATATGTCAACAATGATTAAACATTAATTGGTGCACCTAATATAGAAAAATGTATTATCTATTGCAATCTTCTTTTCTTTCACCATGTTCTTACCTTCCCTCTAAAGAAAAATGTTGGTTAACAGCCTCTTTCAACTTTATCTCCAAATCTTCATTTTTGACTTCCAGTAATCTTTTGGTTTTGCTACATAATTCTAATCTGTAAGTAGATATATGTGTCATATCTTAAATACTGGTAAATTGTATTGGTATTTAAATATTTCAACAATATATAAATAACACATAGCTGAGAGGGTGATAGAGCAGATTGTTACCCCGAGAAAACATTGTCAACCGCGGTGAAGCCAAGGTTGACAATGCTTTTTCGAGGGGTACCAATCTGCTCAGCTATGTGTTATTAAATTTATTATATTGAGTGTCCTATCATTATTGTCTTTTACAGATTAATTTTATTTTAAAAGTATTTTCTATGACGTCACGTACATACCAACGTTACGGGTATTAGAAAAAACAACAAAATTGAGGCAAGATGTTTTATCTTTTTATTTTGACAGTCAAATAATTAAATCTGCGCCAAAACGTAGAAATTTAATTACTTGATGTAAATTCAATTCATCGTCCTTTAAATTATCGATTTTTGATTGGTCCGGACGAGAGGGTGACATTAAAAAAAAATTGTCACCCACTCAGCCATGTGATAGAGTAAATTAACACCCTCGTATTAGCCAATCAAAATATGGCATTTTAACATGAAATATAATAATTCAACTTATCAAGCAGGTTTTATTCAGATGGATTCAATATAGTTTAAAATTTCTATCACTGAGTTGGCGCATTAATGCTACTGATGTATCAAGTCCCAAATAATATATGCAACCTGCAGCCATGTAAGTGGTGTGGAATTAAAAAACAATAAATACAATTTGACATGCATCTTCAGCATTTCTGTTAAAATTTGATTTTATTTTCCAAAAACCCTTTAATGTTTGATCTTCAAAAGATTTCACTACAGAAGGTAGTTTGTTAAAAATATGTTTGTAGCTGACTATATGGAATGGGTTCTGCTCATTGTTGACGGCCATATTGTGATTAATAGTTGCTTACATCTACATCATTTGGTCTCAGGTGGAGAATTGTCTCATTTATTGGCAATCATACCACAATATCTTTTTTATCAAGGGGCTTTTTATGTATACGTTAAGAATTTGATTTGGAAACACTGTAAATGCTGACAGCAGAAAATCAAGAGGGCTCAAGCCTGTGCAAATGGTCATGGGGAATTTATTCATATTCATTCTTTGAACAGTACTTGATATTCAATAAACTGATGACACAGGGTTATGGCTCGCATTTTGTGATTTTGTTGGTATAATGCAAATGTTGAAATTAAAATGGCAATATTTAAACATGTAAACTATGCAAATCATTCAAATTAAGTCAATGAAGGTGCAGGGCCAAATATATAACCTCCATGGAAATGTGAAATTCCAATGCTTATAAAACTGCATACCAAATACTATTGACATATCATAAGAGGTTCCCTTTAAACTAACCTAAACACAACCTTTAACTTGTGGGTAAACTATGTAAAGTTTCAGAGTCAATGAACCATGATGAGGAAGTGGGGCAATATAATCTCAATGGAAATGAGACTTGCAAATGCCAATACAACTGCATAACCAATATCACTGACTTAACATCAGAAGTTCATCTTAAACTGATCTAATCACAAACATTAACATACAAGTAATGCAAAACACTCAAAGTAAATTAACTAAGACTGAAAATGGGGGATCCAAAAAATCTCCATGGAAATGAGATGTGCCAATGCTAAAGTAACATCTGCATGCAAAATCTCATTAACCTACCACTAATGGTTCCCCACAAACTTGACCTAATCACAAACTAATACATTGTTGACAAAAATGACATCATTCTCATTCTTTATCATACCAGTCCTATAGAACTTTGACAGTACTCACTCCTCTTCCATGGAATACAACTTTCTTGTCAATTTTGCTATTTCCTCATTTTTATTGACCAGTTCCTCCTTTTGATAATCCTCAGTCATGTACCTTTCAAAGGAATTTAAAATAAAAACATTATAATAAAAACAAATAAACTGTTAACACAGAGATATGTCTCGCCTATTTGTTATTTTGATAATGCAAATGTTCAAATTAAAATAACAATACTTTAACATGTAAGTTATGCAAATATTCAAAGTCAATGAACCATGACTAAAAGTACATGGAAATGAGATGTGCTAATGCTAATACAACTGCAAACCAAATGCCAATACATTTGCATACCGAATATCATTGACTTAAAACATAAGTGGTTCATCTTAAACTGACCTTATCACAAACTAATACATGTAAACTAAGCAAAAGTTTCAAAGTCAATAGACCATGACTGAGGGGTAAAGACCAAATATTCTCCATGGAAATGAGATGTGCTAATGCTTATACAACTGCATACCAATTATTATTGACCTACCACTAACAGTTCCCCTTAAACGGACCTAATTCACAAACTAAGCAAAAGTTTCAAAGTCAATAGACAATGAATGAGGGGGCGAGGCCAAATAATCTCCATGGAATTGAGATATGCCAATGCTTATACAACTGCATACCAAATATCATTGACCTACCATTAGTGGTTCCCCATAAACTGACCAAATCACAAACTAATACATGTAAACTAAGCAAAGTTTCAAAGTCAATAGACCTTGACTGAGGGGGCGGGGCCAAATAATCTCCATAGTAATGAGATGTGCCAATGCTAAAACAACTGCATACCAAATATCATTGACCTACCACTAGTGGTTCCCCATAAACTGACCTAATCACAAACTAATACATGTAAACTAAGCAAAAGTTTCAAAATCAATAGACAATGAATGAGGGGGCGAGGCCAAATAATCTCCATGGAAATGAGATATGCCAATGCTTATACAACTGCATACCAAATATCATTGACCTACCACTAGGGGTTCACCATGAACTAGACCTAATCACAACTAATACATTGTTGACGCCGCCGCCATCGACGCCAGAAACAGCATACCTATGTCTCGCTTTTTGACTCCGTCAAGGCAAAACAAAAACAAGAGTGCACAAGCTGAAATGTCTTGCCTGCTTTACTGACCATTAAATTATGTTGAAAGTCTTAAGTATAAAGGTTTTACTACAAGTATCACATAACCTTAACATTTTTAAATTTCCATGACAATGAGGTCAAGGTCAGGTAAAATATGTCAGACAGAAATGTACACCTTGCAATCATTCCATACATCAAATATAGTTGACTTTTCGTACCTATGCTAATTGAAAAACAGACCAAAGCACAAAAACTTAACATTGACCAATGAACCATGAAATTGGGGTTAAGGTCAGATTTTACCTGCCAGACAGACATGGATATTTTATAGTGTGTCTTTCTATGTTGTGATGTTATACTATTGTTTCAGAAAAGGGAGAAGGTTTGGTACCATTAAAACGTTTAATCCCGCTGCAAATGTTTGCACCTGTCCTAAGTCAGGAATCTGATGTACAGTAGTTGTCGTCTGTTTATGTAGTTCATACGTGTTTCTCGTTTCTCGTTTTTATATAGATTAGACTGTTGGTTTTCCCGTTTGAATGGTTTTACACTAGTAATTTTTGGGGGCCTTTATAGCTTGCTGTTCGGTGTGAGCCAATGCTGAGTGTTGAAGGCCGTAACTTGACATATAATAGTTTACTTTTATAAATTGTTACTTGGATGGAGAGTTGTCTCATTGGCACTCATACCACATCTTCCTATATCTACGTACATCTAACAATCATTTCATACACCAAATTTTGTTGACTAACTGGTTATAGTATTTGAAAAACAGATCAAAACACAAAAACTTAATACTGACCAATGAACCATGAAAATGAGGTCAAGGTAGGATGATACCTGCCAGACAGATATGTCCACCTTACAATCCTTCCATACACCAAATATTGTTGAACTTCTGCTTATATTACTGGAAAAGCAGATCAAAACACAAAAACTTAACACTGACCAATGAACCATGAATATGAGGTCAAGGTCAGATGATACCTGCCAGACAGACATGGACACCCTACAATCATTCCATACACCAAATATAGTTCACCTATTGCTTATATTACTGAAAAACAAACAAAACACAAAAACTTAACATTGACCAATGAACCATGAAAATGAGGTCAAGGTCAGATGAAACCTGCTAGACTGACATGTACTCTTTACAACACCATATATACTTGACCTACTGCTTATAGTATTTCAGAAATGGACCTAATCACATAACTATAACCTTGGATCACTGATCCATGAAATGAGGTCGAGTTCAAGTGAACTCTTTCTGACAGACAAGTAGACAGTGCAAGGAACCCATATACTAAATATAGTTATCCTATTACTCATAATAAGTGAGAAATTCACATGACAAAAAACTATAATTCTTTTCAAGCAGTAACTGAACTATGAAAATTAGGTCAAGGACAATTGACATATGACAGACGGAAACTTTGTAACATAAGGTATCTGCATACAAGGTATGAATCATCTAGGTCTTCAACCTTCTGAAATATAAAAGTTTTAAACAAATAGTTTACGCTGCCACCACCGCTGGACAGTAATCCCTATGCCTCACATACTGCGTCAAAAACTATGAATTCAGCAGTATAATATTTCAGAAATCAGCAATGTAATATATAACTCAGAAATTTCCTTGTTTTGTGTTCTTTTTCAATGAATTACAAATTTATTTTTTTGAAAAACCTAACAAATGACTTGTAATAATTCAACTCAACTAAAAATATCACTTACCATTGAGGTAAATATGATTTTATCCAAACTAAACTAAATAATGTTTATCAATGTAAAATATACTATTTCATTTTAAATAAATAACAAAATTAAAACTGGTACTTCAGCAATACCAATAAAGATATGGCTTCAAATAAAAAAAATACTGGACTATGACTATTGAACATGACTAACACAATATCATAGATTCAGCTTTTTTGGTTTATGTGATTGATATTTTATATTTTAAAACCATATATATCAATTAGGGTTTCTACACCTAATCATCTAAATACATGATGTTCTTATGTTATAACAATAAAATTGAGAATGGAAATGGGGAATGTGTCAAAGAGACAACAACCGGACCAAAGAGCAGAAAACAGCCCAAGGCCACCAATCGATCTTCAACCCAGCGAAAAAATCCTGTACCCTCGGAGGCGGGCTTCAGCTGGCCCCTTAAACAAAAATGTGTACTAGTTCAGTGAAAATGGACGTCACATTAAACTCCGAAACATATAAATGAACTAAAATTTAAAAACATACAAGACTAACATAGGCAAGCAACTTAATATCAATTATAAGTTATTTTTCTAACCTTGCATTTTCCCACCTTGTGCTTTCTGTCTCTGAAAGTTGTTTCTGAAGATCTCTTATATTAGCTTCATGAACAGCCATCTGTCTATTAGATATTGCTTCTTGCTCTTTTAACCTATCTGATGCATCCTTTAAGTCATGTTGAAGATTATCTACTTTTTTGTTTGCTCGATCTTTTTCTTCTTTATAATGAACAATCTTATTCTTGTACTGTCGTACCACATTAATATGTTCTCTTATTTCCGTGGCATGCCTAGAATTACAAAACAACATTACAAAACTTTCAAAGTAAAATCAATCTTCAGAATGCTTACTTTTCTACTATCCAACATGTAGTAAGAATTGAATATTTTACATGTACTATGGACAAAATATACAGAGACATTCAAATAAAACAAGGATGATAATATTACCATCATACTCATGACCAAAACAGGTAAAAAATCTTAGAACTATCAGGAATACATTCAACCCAGAGTTACATGTTCATATTATCGTTGGTAATAAACTTGTTTAACTTATCGTACCAAAGATAATCATTAATATCTAATTCATTAATTAAAATACTATCCTAAACCCCATATTAAGGCGTTTGAATTTCTTTAATTTTCCAAAAAATATATAATATAAATGATATGAAATATTTTTATTCCTTAATTCTACAACTGTATAGAGTGTGATACAACAATTTTACTATAAGACAGTTAAATATCTAAATTAAGAACGCCAGCCTTGCTGAGCTTTTTCAATTTTTTAAAATTTAATAATTGTCCACAGTGAATAAATTTTAGATCATGTGAGAAATGGAGGTGGAATCTCTTTCTCTACTAAATTTTTGAAAATATGATATTTTGGCAAAAATGATCTTTGTTTTACAATGATCAGCAATAAAAAGGATTTCTCTTTGTGATGACATCACACATGGTCACCTTTTTGTGACATCACAGTAGAAATATGAGGGGAAAAGCAATAAATTTGATGTCATAATTAAATTTTGACCAATGCAGCACTGTGATCAAGCAATCCCCACATTGATTTTATAAATTTATAAAGAGATAGAGAGATTCTATCTACTTTGATATTTCAAAATATTATGTATGCAAAAGCACACAATTAATACAGACAGATGTGTGCTCATCATAAAGAGTTTCCACTTTCCACTTTCAACATGATCTAGCTTGTCTCTTTTAAACCAATTTTTAAATTCATAACTTCATCAACATATAATGAACTTACTTATTTTCCATCTCAAAAATTTCTTCACGTAAGCTGTTGTTTTCGTTCTTCAGTTTAAGATTGGATTTTCCCTCTCGCTTAATGTCATCTTGTTCCCTAATAAAGAAATATAGTCATTATTAGCAGCTTAAAATTAAACAATCAATAATTTATATACTAGAGATTTAATGGAATAGCAGACTGTAATGATGTTTCAAATGTAGATGGCGACAAAGCAGAGGCTATGATAAAGCCTATTATCCAATGAATTTGAAAATCAACCAAGAATCCAAGATTATAAATTTATCAAATTTATTGCTTAGTTCTTCACAGGGCATCATTCTGTCAGAAATCCATATTTTTTTTAAATTTATCTTAAGATTGGCTTCAAACTTCTTTTATTTAAACCAAAATTGTAAAATAGAACATGTAATAAATTTTTAGATATGAGCTGAAACATTTTAACCAACAAACATAATTTGCAACAAAGTATTTTGTAAAAAGATGCAAATTTATGAAAAGTATTGTTTTGAGTACCACCTTCAGATAGTTTTTCATAAAACTATGAGTAAAATAGTAATTTTCAGTTAAATATGTCAATTTCAACATGTTTAAGATGTCAAAGTGACATCACCAATCAGGACTAACATTTCCGATTTTAAAAGTGTCCAGATTATATGATCATATTCATTTATTAATAAAACAGACATATTCTGTCGATAACTATATAATGTGGCATTGCACAACGTCATGTTTTTCTCGGGCTGTTTATGATGCCTTTATAATAAATCCATTGGATTTTGGATGTGTCCTGGTTGATACTTTAGTCTTCTATACATCGCGATGACCTTGAGGTCATTCCGATGTATTGCTATCGCCTAGATTTCCATTATGTAAATTAGTTTTGGGTTTGTAACCGATCTATAAACATGATAAATATGCGCACATAAACGAGTGCAAAATAACATTCCTTGTCATTTGATATAAATACATCTCTTCAATGAATACTGATAAAAATATTTTTGTTTACAACATAAATTAATAATGTGAAAATGTTTTGTAGTTAGATATATATATATAAGTAAAAAATCATTGATAATATCAATGCACACGTACCGAAAAATTGTGTTAAAGCATGCGGAAGAATATCTCAAAGAACGTTTTGCGACAGGACCGGTAACTCTGTAATTGTTTTTGCGGGAAAATATGAATGCCTACTCGTATCCAATCTTAGAAAAATCAAATTTTTACAGAAAAGTGTCCACCATGCACTTGCATTGCACTTTTATTAGAACAGTAGAATAGAATGATATACAAACGGATGCAAATCATATATATATGTAACTGTTATTTTAATATAATATATAACAACAAATCAGTGTCACTACAATATAATAGTTATTACGGTGAAGTTGAATTTCCTGTCATTTATTCATCATACTCGCATGCACTTGTCTAGAAAAAAATATATCTCTGTACATTAACCTCAGTTTCAGGTAAAGAGATATGTTGTTTTTTTTCTGAGACAAGTGCTTTTGACCATCCTCAAGAACTTGTGGTCATCCGATGTTCAGTACTTCAGTACTTTGATTTTAGTTGTTGTTATTGGTTTTCAACTAGTTTTCAGTAGCTGTGAGTACTCTCAGATCTGTACTTTGTGTCTTTAATTTTTTTGTTAGTTGTTTTGTGCTTTGTATCGATCTAATGAGTTAAGCCCTTTTCAACCAATTTTTAAGTTATTATCCCTTCTTAAGTACAGTAGAGGAAAATGACAATACATATACATTTAAACTTACCAGAAAACATAAATAAATTTTAAACTTTGTATTAATTTGAATATCCAAAATTTTTAACTTGTATTATTCCACTGAATATACATATTGATAGTTTGATCAATATTTGATTGGTTGAGACTATCCCACATGTCATTGAACAAATCTTCCTATTTCCCTCTGAAATGTCAGGACTACATCGAGTGACGTTACGCGCGGTTAATGTACATAACATTTCAACGGGTTTTTTTTTAAATAGCGAAAGAAAAAAAAAATCATTATCCTGTTCAAATTTATTTCAGACGTTAAAACAAAAAGACTAATAATTAACTTTTGATCCATACTGTTTATCAATGTGTATGTTGTGTTTGGTTATAAAAACAATCAGATAAAAAAAAGTGTATAAAATTGAGAATGGAAATGGGGAATGTGTCAAAGAGACAACAACCCGACCATAGAGCAGACAACAGCCGAGGCCACCAATGGGTCTTCAATGCAGCGAGAAACTCCCGCACCCGGAGGCGTCCTTCAGCTGGCCCCTAAACAAATATGTATACTAGTTCAGTGATAATGGACGTCATACTAAACTCCAAATTATACACAAGAAACTAAAATTAAAAATGATACAAGACTAACAAAGGCCAGAGGCTCCTGACTTAGGACAGGCGCAAAAATGCGGCGGGGTTTAACATGTTTTTTGAGATCTCAACACTCCCCCTATACCTCTAGCCAATGTAGAAAAAACAAACGTACAACAGTACGCACAGTAAAACTCAGTTAAAGAGAAGTCCGAGTCCGATGTCAGAATAGGAAACAAAAGAAAATAAACAAAATGACAATAATACATAAATAAGAACAGACTACTAGCAGTTACTGACATGCCAGCTCCAGACCTCGATTAAACTGATTGAAAGATTATGTCTTCATCATATGAATATCAGGCACAATCCCTCCTGTTAGAGGTTTAGTATCATACCGTCATAAAATATATGAGAAGAACATAACCCGTGTCATGCCAACAACTGGTTTTAGAATAAATATGTTTAATTCCGATGCAAAGACCCTATAAGTGAATCAATATTAAAGCCAAAATATGCAATTTTTAATATGTATGTATACTAATATTTTATGTTCATGTATACTAATATTTTATGTTCATGTATACTAATATTTTATGTTCAGGTAGTAAACAAATCATAGGCAGTGGAATAAAACATTCATTTCTCTTGGCTTTGGGAGATATGAAGATTTTCTCACCCTCGAAAAATCATATGATTGTTTTTTAAAGAAAAAATAACTTTTTTTTAATTGAAACATCAATTTAGGCATAATTACATATTAAGAATAAATATATACACCTACATCACAGCATTAATTAGCATTTTTTATGATTGAAATAGCAAATAAATGTTAGTTTTTAATGCAAGGTATTGGGGTTTTTTTTAACATAAAGTATTACACCCACATAAATATTTGGAGGTAGTAAATCCAAAAAGTCATTTGAAGTACACTGTCAGTCAATACCTCAAGGAAAATGCCATAATATTGACCTTTATCATCAATTCCGCTTAGTTCGATCACTCTGTATAAAATATATTGGTTAAAAACTTATTTTTTTAAAAGATACAAATATTATTCTAAGATTTCTATGCTACTTAAGTATCAATGTATCAATACCTCTGCAACTCTACTACTTCCTTTTGTTGTTTTTCACATTCAGCTATTCTTTTGTTTAATGTTTCAGTATTTTCAACACCTCTTTTCTTTTCTTTTTCTAATTCTTTTATCTTTTTCTCCATGGTATTTATTAATTTTTCACTGTTTTGCTTTTCATCTATACTAATTTTTCTCTGCTTTTGCAACATTGATTGTAATTCTTCTTTATCCATTTGCATATTAACAATTTCTGCCTTAGCTTCACTACTTGATTTTTTATATCGAATTTCTTCATCTGTGTACTTAGAAATAGCAATGTTCGCATCTCGAGTATTTTCATCAGCTCTACAGATAACAAGGGATTTATAACAATAAATTAATTCCAATGATCAGTCTTAGTATCATATTCCATTGATACTTATTCAACACATCCTAAACTTTGTTAAATTATAAAGTTTAACCCAATTGTTCTCCATTTTTTCCCTTTAGAGTATTTTTTGCACTCCTTAATGACAGACAAGGCCATATAATTGATTTTTAGCATTTTGTGCTTGACATGTCAACCAATCAAACTATAATGAAAGGAAAATAGTCTTGTTTTTAAACAAAGGTACCTGTAATATTAGAATATATAAATATGGATTTGGGGTGACAAGTTTTTGATATACATGTATTTAACAATAAACAATAAAAGAGGGTGGTACAGACATAACCGTCAGCAAAAAAAGGTGTACTTAAAGCCTTGTCTTGACAATTAAAAAAAATATATGGTTTTGGGATATGGGGATATGAACAGTTATCAAGCTATTCAACAATAAATGATAAGAATAGGGCAGGGCTATCCTCAATGGACAAACCTATGGTGAACTATAATGGTGTTATCAAGGAAATTAAGGCAATATATGGTTAAGGGGTGGGGATCTGAACCATTTTTGAGATATTCTAAATATTTATTATATGAGGGGGGACAGGGAATGACTCCAAGGTGCAAACCCTTAGTTGCATTGAAGTAGTCTTGCCATGGAAAATTAAGGCAAAGTAGTTTACAAATGTTCAAATCTTGTAAGTCAATGAAAAGCAAGAATATAATATATGGTATTTTGAAGAGCTACAAATCTATTATTCAGCTTTGAAGGTCAATGGTCATGGTTATCTTCTATGGTAACCAACACATCCTTTTCAGGTGCTGCACCCTTGTGCCAAATATCAAATGCCTGTCAAAGGGCCAAAAAAGTTATGTTCCAAAAATGAAATTGTCCCAAAAAAATTATTTCACCTTGAGGCAAAGATCAAAGTCACACTAAAGTCATGATGATTTGTTAAATACTGTCCTAAGACAAAACACCTTCGTGCAAAATATAATCAGTCAGTGTCAAATGATAAAAAAAAAGTGTAGTGACCAGGCAATTTTATAGAGTAAAACTAGTATTTCCCCAGCTAGGAATTTGTTACAAATTTATATACTGTGGATTCATTTATTTTTGTGGGTATCAATTTTCGTGGATTGAGGAAATCTTGCATCTTCGTGGATATTTGATTTCGTGGTTTTGTCAAAGTCTGTATACAATCCAATAGCAAATTTGTGATTCGTTGAACATTTAAATTTGTGGTTCACCTGTACCAATGAAAACCACGAAAATTGGTATCCAACGAATAATAATGAATCCACAGTACATGTATAAAAGGGATTATTTGATTTAAGAAACTAACCTTTTGGACCATTGCTTCTTTGCTTCAAGTATATTTTATTAAATTTAATTCTTCCCTACTTCCGAAACATGTTGACCAGAAGTAGATGGACATGCAGCATTTTCTATTCATTAAATTTACTGAACTTCAGCCAATGCTGTCCTTGGGTTCAAAGTTAATTCGAAGATCTCGGCATTTATCTCCTCACTTACGCAATAAACTTGTTGTTTCCATTGTTTCAATATAAGTATAAATACTGGAGTGTTTGCTACATCTAGGAGTTGCTGATTGAGCCGGGTTGCATCAAGCCACCCTCAAACCCTCCAGACTGTATCAGTCTACTTGGGCGAAACACGCTTTTTGTGTACAAACACTCCAGTGTCCTTGACCTTTAAGGTATGTAATTATTGTTAGATAAATGTGAGGGACCATCTCAAGAGACATAGATATTACTTTGCCGGTGCTAGTTTAAAATAAGGTCCATTTAAGATAGAAAATAAGTAATTACTATTGATTTAAGGATTAGGTTGGGAGGATTTATATTCATAAATGAAATTTGTGAATAAATAAAGTTTAACATATTTAATAGACCCTTTTTAAGAAAGGTTAATTTTCAGAACAGTTGTCTGTTGTATTTTTGTTACTTTACATTGTTGAATTTATATGCAATTTATTGAACTTTACTAATGTTATTGGTATAATAAATATTATATTGGGAAAATTCTTGTTTAATTACATTTGTGAAACATTGAAAAGCAAGACCTATATGGGTAGAATGTACCCTGCTGATCGAACCTAAGCGAAGTACTACCACTACATGTCCCAGGAGGCATATATTATGGCATTGTTGATTTGTCGTTGACCCCCTCCTGCTACAAAAGTTTTGGCATGGACAATGTTGCAAGAACCAGAAGGAACACTTTTTTACATAATGTCTTACTTTGTAGAAGTGGGAGTAATAAATGAATTTTAACAAGTCAACCTTCCAAGAACAATGTTCAAAATTAAAAGATACCAACAATGTCTTAAAGGTCAATAAGATCACTGTAACAAAATAGAAAGTTTAAGGATACATATACTTATCCTTTCTTTTTTAATAAATACATTTTACATGTTAAATTCATGCATATTGTTAACAGTAACACTTCACATTCTACAAACATGCATATGACTAATTCAAATTTCTACTCTTTTCTTGGTTATAATAAATCATGCAGTCATTTCTCTCAAATTGTACAAATAAAAATAGTTTTGTTATCAATAAAGTTAATTTCATTAAATTTTGAAGGATTATTACTCTTAGTAGATAAACTAGATTTTATACCTGGTCTGTATTTCAAGAATCTGCATCTTTTGATTCGCAATCGTATTCTTTAATGCTGTTCTTTCTTCCTCCATGAAGTCAATATTAGCTTCTGAAGTGGCTAGTTTCATTTCTAGTTTCTGGAGACTAAAATTATAAAATCAATATTTCATAGTCCTCTTACAGTGTTTGCCTCTTAAAACTTTGGTAAGAAAAACCCAAACTAAAGGAGAATGTGTCTGCGGACACGAATGCCCCTGCTCAAGCTTTTTAATTTTCCAAGTTATAAAGGAGCATATCTCTAGAACGGTAAGTGACTCACTGCCCAAATCGATCTCTGTCTGTGAGTTTTGGTTCTTAGCATTATGTACGAGTTTCATAAAATTTGGATGAGTAAAATTTCAGTTACAGTGCGGAAAGGAAAATTGGACAGAATCGACAGCTGGGGCATACCAACTCAAAAAGTATTTTGCATATACGCGGTATATCAAAGTTACCAACCTTACAATTTTTTTTTTTTAATTTTTAATAAAGCAACATGCATACCTGTCAACTGACCCGTATTCTGCGGATGACACCCATAAATTTCACCTCTCACCCCTGGGATTTTTTAAATACCTGATGGGTCATTAAATAACCTGTGAATTTGGAAAATGACCCGTTTTCACCCGGATTCTTGAGTCTTCAGATTTTTTAAGTATGAATGATAGATTTCATAAGTGATTTTCTTTTGAAATACTGGCAAATTCGTAATTTTTCCTGGACAGGAAATTCAACTAGCTGTGTTAACTGTCAAATAAAGTGACCAATTTAAGTGCATGGCTTCACTAGACAATTTTAGTGTCAAACACACTGTTAATGAAAGAACCTTAGTGAGCGCGCTCACATACCCCACGTCCCAACATTGTCATTGGAGAAATAAAATAAGTGTAAGAAAAAAAAATTGTATCAGAAAAAAAAATTGAATCATAATTTCCTGTTAATATGCACATCTACATAGTATGTCCTTATTATCTACACAGTTTCATGAAATTCTGTTGTGTGGTTTGAGAGGAGTTGCGATGACAAAAGGTTGCAGTAGTATTTTGGGCAATTAAGTTCAAAGGGGCATAACTCCTGGAAAAATAATTGAATCGTAATTTCCTGTCTATATGCACATCTACGTAGTATGTCCTTATTATCTAAAAAGGTTTCATGAAATTCTGTTGTGTGGTTTGAGAGGAGTTGCGATGACAAAAGGTTGCAGTAGTATATTGGGCAAATAAGTTCAAAGGGGCGTAACTCCTGGAAAAAATTGAATCGTAATTTCCTGTCGATATGCACATCTACGTAGTATGTTCTTATTATCTGAAAAGGTTTCATGAAGTTCTGTTGTGTGGTTTGAGAGGAGTTGCGATGACAAACTGTTGCAGTAGTACATTAAAGTAAATAAGTTCAAAGGGGCGTAACTCCTAGAAAAAGAATTGAATCGTAATTTCCTGTCGATATGCACAACTACATAGTTTGTCCTTATTATCTAAAAATGTTTCGTGAAATTCTGTTGTGTGGTTTGAGAGGAGTTGCGATGACAAAAAACAGGACTGACGGACAGACGGACGGACGGACGGACAGACGGACTGACTGACAAACGGACGGACGGGTCAAACACATTATACCCTCCGCAACTCGTTGCGTGGGGTATAATTAACAATAATAACCTTAGCTTAAGGTTATAAATAATTTGTGTATTTCAAAGTTGTTTGACCAAAAAAAATCTAGTTACTCTCCCTTTTTTGCCACTTTTCACAGTATACTCCTTAAATTCATGTTTTTTTTTGTAAAAAGATTAAATCTAAGGCAAATTGAATGCAAATACATATCAGAATTTTACTTGAATGATTTTTCTATCTTAGAACAATTAAAAAAATAGTATTTTGAAAATCTTCCTTTAAATGCTTAGATTTTAAATTATATACTCTAATATCAACTACAATCAATACCTAACCATGCAGGACCTTCAAGGGAAGTCAAGGTCATTAAAAAAAACCCTAGTCATCAAATGGAATAATAAGTAAAGCTGTACATTGATGCTATATAGCCTTTATATACTGTAAAACATGTGGCTTATGGGTTGAATTATAACTATGAATCAGTCAATTAGATGGTTATGGCTTGGCTTGAATTGATATAGTATAATACATTTATATTTCAATGGTTTATAAATGTGATGAAAAAATAAAATTAAATTTCTTAAATATTTTTAGTTAATACTTAACCATGTGAACATGTTTTGGAAACTATTCTATTTGAATTACAAAAAAAATGTCCTTAAATAGTTAAATTCAGCTGAAAAAAGTTTGTACATGTTATGACCTGAGATTTTCTTCTTCAATGCAGGTCATATGAGGCACCAATTGGGGAAACACACTTTCAGGATCATTATTAAGTGTTTGCTTAAAATAAGCACTCTAACACATACCCTTTCTGAATTTATTTCAAAATGCACAACAAAAAAATATTAGAAAAATAACAACAAGTGGTAAAAATGTTAAATAAAGGTCTGTAAATTTAACTTTTTTTGGCATGCAATAAATACTAAAATATACTCAAGCTTTGGAATGGAACAGTACTGCTAACTTGTGATTTAATTTTATGCTCTTTATATCATAGTCTTGAAATAAAACCCATTTGGCTAATTTATTACTGAAAAGGACCAATTTTTGAAAATCTCAAAGGTGACAGAAAATTTCAACAAAAATACAAAACTTCCAAATTTTGAACCTTACTTTTCTCGAAAACAAGCACATACTACATGTACTAACATTGATTTTGTCTTTGATAAATTAAAACAAAACTAAATATATTGCTATATAATTTATGTAAAATTATAAGTACCGGTACTCATGATTCTATATCCTGTTAACACTGTTTACTTATATTTTGGCATTGCACAAGGACATGCGTTTCAAATCTCATGACATCTTTACACTAAATCTGTTGGATGTGTACTGATTGATACTTTAGTCTGGGGAAAACATGATTTATTTATTTGTTGTTATTACCATTGAACTAGCTTTCAGTAACTGTAAGTTCTCATATATTGGTACTTCGTGTCTATTGTTTTATTGTTATAGTTGGTTTGTTTGTTCTTCATTATTAACTTACACATGACTTAAGCTATTTGCAACTGATTTTTATAGTTTTTTCTTATGTTGTGCTGTAAAACCACTGTCCCAGGATAGGGAGGGTTGAGCCCTCACAAACATGTTTAACCCTGGCACATTCTTCATGTATCTGTCAAAAGTCAGGAGCCTGTAATTCAGTGGTTGTTGTTCAAGTCTGTCATATTTGTTTTCTTAAATTGTAATGTATAAATTAGTCAGTTGGTTTTCTCATTTTTGAATTGTTTCACATTTTTCATGCCCACCCGGGGGCCTTTTATAGCTGATATACGGTATGGGTTTTTCGAATTGCTGAATGCCAAACGGTGACCGATAATTGCTTATATCTTCGCATTTAAACTCTGGTGGATAGTTGTCTCATTCATGTGTCATAGACAATCTCCTTATTTTTATAAGTATACTTACTTTTCTTTAAGAATACCTATGTCTGCCCAAAAATCTTGGTTTTGCTTTCTTAGTTTAACATTATCGTAATTTAAAAGAACGTTTTTATTTTCGTCAGTTTCCATCCGTTTTAACCTGGAAAAAATTCATGAAAAGGTGTGTCAATCTGAAAACTTCCTGCAATACATTTCCAGAACTTTATTTTTTATTATATTGCTGGATATCTTATATACTGTAAATTCAGAAATTATTGAATTTTTTAATGAATGAGCGAAAATGCAAGATTAATTATTGTGATTTCAGGAAAATCTGCATACAGACATATGCTTCGAATTCAGAATGCGAGTTTTTATTATTGTGATACTCACCTAGTCGCATTATTTGCATTAATAAAAACCTTGTAATCATTTCTGAATTTACACATGCTACAGTATTTGCATTAGGATTTAAGAAGTATAAGATACAATATGTATTATTGCAGTTTCCCTGAACAGAGAGGACAGACAATATTACTGTATTTGCAAAGACTAACATACTGATGTCCATTTGTTCTCATTAGTCCAGGTATAAAACAGATTTAAGAGACTTAAACATTTGGAATGGAACAAACTCCAAACAGAGAGAAACGAGTTGTGCCAATACCACGTAAAATGTTCTGCTACTCATGCATTACCTATCACACAATTCAATTGTCATATCCAGTGAATACAAACAGGAAAAAAGACACAAAAATGAACTGTGACTTGAAAATAATATTGAAATACTACTATCAAACACTTATTCATTTAGAAATAGACTTAATTTAGTCCTAAACTCCAAGCATTCACCATCAACAACTACGTTTATTTTGACGGGGACCCAGAGATTGGATGAAATTGGTACAATCAGTTTTCATTAACAGCATTTCAATAATGAAAACAAGAATGTGTCCATAGTACACGGATGCCCCACTCACACTATCATTTTCTATGTTCAGTGGACCTTGAAATATGGGTCAAAACTCTAATTTGGCATAAAAATTAGAAAGATCATATCATAGGAAACATGTGTACTAAGTTTCAAGTCAATTGGACTTCAACGTCATCAAAAACTACCTTGACCAAAAACTTTAACCTGAAGCGGGACAGACGAAGGGATGGACGAACCAACAGATGCACAGACCAGAAAACATAATGCTCCTACTACTATAGTAGGTGGGGCATAAAAAGAACACTAATAGGACATTACAATAAAAGGTATTCAGGTTCCTTTTTGTATTTTCAATTTTTTTTCTGTAGATACATTTGAAGTTTGCCCTACTAACACTATCTCAATGATAAATATTACTTGCAAAAAACTCAGAAACACACAAATGTATAAATATTTTTGCCAATATTATATAGATGATTTATGTACTATAGGATTAAATGCCTTTCTAAAAAAATTTATTCGTGTATAAACTGGACCAATTAACTCACAAACAAATAAAAGTCCATAGGACTTTAATGATATGTTTGTGAGTGACTAAATATTTTTAACGTCGAGCTGGTTTGTGTTATCATTGCCGCCATCTTGTTTACATTGGTTACAAAAAGTAGTTCCGTCAAGGTCGTCTATCAAAAAGTAAATAACTTTGAGAGCAACTACTAGAAGCCCTCTTGCCCAATCATATAAAAGTATTCCCTAATATGCAAATCATATAAGAATTATAACAAATAACAGTCATTTTCAGTACAATAAAATGTTAAAAGTATAAAACAAAACATTATTTCACATTTCAATTATTGTGCACATCAGAAATTTTGACTTGACAACACAATATACAATGCAGTTTAATGTACATGAAGTTAATAAGTGTATTGTTTTACTCATTTAATGCATTTAAAATTACTTTTCTAAATCTTCTTTGAGTTTGTGGTTTTCATATCTTGCCATATTCCTCTCATTCTGGTATTGTTCAGCTTGTACCTTGTATAAAATATCATCCTGTGTACCCCTAATAAATAAAACATCCATATCTATCAAAAAGGAAAATTTAATAACAAAAGTATCTTTTATTGAGGTCTATGGGTGCCCTGAGTCCCCACCTTTTGTGGGAAAAATTGGTTGATTATTTAGGGACCACTGAATCATGACTGGAGCAGGCCCCCTCTTAGGGCAGTCAGTGGGACCACCTTATGAAAATTGCTGAATCCACCACTGATTTCAGAGTTCCTAATGAAGGTAAATTGTGTTATCCTTTTTAGGCAATATTGGTTTAATACAGATGTTTTTACACCTTTATTTAAGTTGCCTTCCAAAACTAAGTTTCCATTTTACCTGTTAATTGTTATGAAAGTTTATCATGGACAAACAGGTTTCAGTGGGTTAATATATATTTCATAAAGCTTCCACACAAATATATAGAACAATCATTATTCTTTTAAAAGTTATTTATTTAAAAGCTATCTTAAAAAAATGTCTTTATACTAAATTGAACAAAACCTTTTACTTATGAAGCATGCTTTTTTCATACCTTGATGCCTTAAAATGAGCTTCTGCTTGCTGTGATATCAAAGCATTCAATTGAAGTAGTTCACTATTCTTTTTTTCAAGCTTCCTGCATTTTTGACTGACACCATCACTGTAAAATACATAATTAAAAATAGATACACTAGTTGTGACTCTACAGGCTTGTTCTCCCAATTCATTATTCGAGCAATATTCCAACTTCTGAGAGGCAACATTTTTTTTTAATTGAACCCCTTAAAATAATTTAATTAGAGTATGTAATCATAATACAGCATTGGTATTGCATTAGATTTGAAAATTGAAAATAATAAAATAGTGGGTCATGCAAAACTTAATGAAATGTCAGCATTTAAGACTTATGGATTGAAAATTTTACAACAATAATTACATATTTTGTTTTTTGTAATACAGAAAAAAATTACCGATACTATTAAATTTTTGGAAAAACAACCTTAATTTTTCAATGTATTACAAACACAGCCCAAACAACTCTCAATTAATGGGCATTGTTAACTTGACTTGTTAACTTCTATGTCATTTGGTCTCTGGTGGAGACTTATTCATTGTCAATCATACCACATCTCCTTATTTTTATACTTGAATTTATATTGATCATTATTGATCAACTTAATTATGATATCAGATTGTAAACAAAAAATGGAAAAATGGATCAGACTGAAATGGCAATAATGCACAGAGAATTTCTTCAGAAATGGAAAATGGTAAAAAATGAACAATTGAATATATGGAAATCAAATATAAAATTGGAAAAAAATCTTTGAACAACCTATAATGAGATGTGCATGACTTCAACAGATGTTCAAACTTTCTTTAAAGTTTAAAGGATCTGTGTTAAGAAGGAGTTTTTACACAAAATTGGTATTTATTTTTAGATTTATTTAGCTGAAGATATTTCTTGAACAACTCTGTAATGTAAGGTGCACAACTTCATTATGTGCAGAATGTGTCCATGAAGAGTCAAAGATCTTGGGTTGCAACTGTAATAGGAGTTGATCACAAAAATTTGGTACAGTAGCTTGTCTTTTAAAACCTTTGCTGAATAAAAGACTATTTTCCCAACTCTGAAAAAATGTGGAAAATCCGAAAGCCATTCCATATTAGCAGGTGGGTGCACAGTTCAATAGAAGTGTAATCTTTCTATGAAGTTTAAAGGAGATTGGTTTAAAACTGAAGGAGCAGTTGATTACACAAAATTAGTATCATCTTTGAACATTTTGCTGTGAATTCACTGTAGGGGGAATTGATTACAGACAAGAGTGCACAAGTTGAAATACCAAGCCTGCTTTACTAATCTAAATTGAATTTATGTTGAAAGTAATCAATGTAAATGAGACCAAGGCCAAATGAACCCTGCCAGACAGACATGTTCATCTTACAATCATTCCATACACTAAATATAGCTAACCTATTCCTTGTAGTGTCTGAGAAGAAGACATACTCATAATAATCCCTGCACCAAGAGGGCATGATACAAGCTTATAGTGCAATTGTTGCAAAAATAAAATGGGATATTTAGAAGGTATTTAAACAGAACCAGAGAAAATGGTTCTGTTGAAAAACATGCATGACGATACCCTTAGGCATATAAATATTGTGTCAAATATGACTGTTAAAAGTCCGATAACTCTGGAATGACAAAACATAAAATTTTCGAGAAAAAAAAGCTGTCTACATTCACCAATCCCAACAACAGTTTTAAGTTTGTAGTAGTTTGATCCAAGATCAAACCAGAAAATTAACAAAATCAAAAGGGACCTTCCCTTTATCAATCCCAACATTCATGTAATCAATCCAGGCATACTGGAGTAACAAATAAATAGCCCCGTAATGTGGAAAATTGCCTAATTTCAAACTGTTAAAAGTCCTGTTACTCTGGAAGGACAAAGCCAAAAACTTTCAAAATCAGTCGAAACTGAGCTTTCTTCCATCAATCCTCATGTTGGTTAAAATAACATGAGAATTATTTGAGGCAAACTTGAGTTATCCTACAAATGTGTTGACGGATGAAAGGTCGGGAAGGATGGTTGGACGGACAGATGGACGGACGGACAGACATTGGTATACCATAATACGTCTTGTCTTCATCAGGCATATAAAAACTAAATATAACCAAAGGACCATGAAATGAGGTCAAGGTCTAATGAACCCTACCACATGACAATACACAATACAATCATTTTATTAACCAAATACAGTAGACCTATTGCTTATTGTATCAGAGAAATATACCTCACCAAGAAATCTTAAAGGTGACAAATGAACCATGAAAATGAGGTGGAGGTCAGATGAGTCATGCTGTTTTATATAAACATATTTACACCCTACCATCATTGAATACACCTTATACAGATGACAAATTGCTTATAGTATCTGAGAAACAGATCTATCTATGAAAACTTAACTTTGACCTATTTTACCATGAAAATTCATAAGGGTTCCACGGAACCCAGTGTCTCGCCTACTTTTTCTGTTAATCGCAGGCTCAACAAAAATGAGGAAGTAAATCAATAAAAATATTCCTCTTGATACTATCTTTTGATTGAAAGAAGCTTCTGTCCAAGTTTGGTAAAAATCCAGGATAGTTTATGAATCTAATAAATGTTTAAAAACTTTAACTGCAGACTGAATGTAATGTTAACTGGAAGAAAACAAAATTTCCTTAAAGATACTAGCATTTGATCATAAACAAGCTTCTGTCCAAGTTTGGTACAAATCCAAAATAGTATAAGAAAGTTATTAAAATTTTAAAAACTTTAACCACAGAGTGAATATGTTGTTTCCTGGCAGAAAATCTAAGTCCATTTAAAAGTAAAATACGGAAAAAATGGATTTATTTTTTTACAAAATTTCCTTCTAGATACTAGCTTTTGATCATAAACAAGCTTCTGTCCAAGTTTGGTACAAATCCAAAATAGTATAAGAAAGTTATTAAAATTTTAAAAACTTTAACCACAGAGTGAATGTGTTGTTTCCTGGCAGAAAATCTAAGTCCATTTAAAAGTAAAATAAGGAAAAAATGGATTTATTTTTTTACAAAATTTACTTCTAGATACTATCTTATGATCATAAACAAGCTTCTGTCCAAGTTTGGTACAAACCCAGGATAGTTTAAGAAAGTTATTAAAATTTTAAAAACTTAAACCACAGAGTGAATGTAATATTTCCCGGCAGAAAAACTAAGTCCATTTATAAGTAAAATACGGAAAAAATTGAATTTTATTTTTACAAAATTTACTTCTGGATACTATCTTATGATCATAAACAAGCTTCTGTCCAAGTTTGGTAGAAATCCAGGATAGTTTAAGAAAGTTATTAAAATTTCAAAAACTTTAACCACAGAGTGAATATTTGTGGACGCCGCTGACGACAACGACGCCGACGGAATGTAGGATCGCTATGTCTCGCTTTTTCGACTTAAGTCGAAGGCTCGATAAAAATGAAGTCAAGGTCAGATTAACCTTACCAGACAGTTTTGAACACCTTACAATCATTCCATACACAAAATATAGCAAAATCTCATAAAAGATACCCTAATAGTGTCTGAGAAGAAGACCTTACCATGAAACTCAATATAACCAAAAAAACTATGAAAATGGAGTCAAGGTCAGATGATACTTGCCAGAAAAAATATATATTTCACCTTACAATCATTCCATACCCCAAATATAGTTAACCAGTTTCTTACAGTTCCTTGAGAAACAGACCAAACCACAAAAACTGAACAAATTGACCAATAAACCATGGAAATGCTGTCAGTGTCAAGTGAAACCTGCAAGATGGACATGTACACCTTACAATCATTCATTAAACCAAATTAAGTTGACCTATTGCCTATAAATTGTATAAAGTAAAATAACAAAAATACTGAATTCCAAGGAAAATTCAAAACGGAAAGTCCCTTATCAAATGGCAAAATCAAAAGCTCAAACACACCAAACGAATGGAATTTAAACAACTGAGATACAGGCCTTAAATCCTGAAAACTTTGACCACTGATCCATTAAATGAGTTAATGGTCAGCTGAATCCTGTCTGATAGAAGGGAAGATCTAAATGCAAGGATCCCATATATACCAAATATATTTATGACCCTACTACTCATTATGAGTGAGAAATTTCCATCGCAAAAAAAAATATATATTGTTTTTTTTTTTAACAGAACCGTAACCATGTCAAGGACCATAGATGACATAAGTATACAAGATATAAAGCATCTACTGGTAGGTCTTATGCCTTCTGAATTATAAAAGCTTAACAAACTAGAGGCTCTCAAGAGCCTGTGTCGCTCACCTGTATTTACTGATGCTTTGGAAATCATGTAAAATAAGGTTAAATTCATAATTAATAGTATTAGATATTAGATATTATAATGATATCTAAGATAACAAAAAACTGCAAAATATTTGTAAAATTACTAACTTGCTGTTTACAGTTTATCTCTATCTATAATAATATTCAAGATAATAACCAAAAACTGCAAAATTTCCTTAAAATTACCAATTCAGGGGCAGCAACCCAACAACAGGTTGTCAGATGTGTCTGAAAATATGGGAGCAGATAGATCTTGACCTGATAATCAGTTTTACCCTATGTCAGATTTACTCTAAATGCTTTGGTTTCAGAGATATAAGCCAAAATCTACATTTTACCCCTATGTTCTATTTTTAGCCATGGTGGCCATCTTGGTTGGTTTGCGGGGTCATTGGACACATTTTTTAAACTAGATACCCTAATGATGATTGTGGCCAAGTTTGTATAAATTTGGCCCAGTGGTTTCAGAGGAGAAGATTTTTGTAAAAAGCTAACGACGACGGACGACGGACGACGGACGCCAAGTGATGAGAAAAGCTCACTTGGCCCTTCGGGCCAGGTGAGCTAAAAAAAGATAAAGGTTCCACTGCCAGATTTGCATTCCTGTGTGTTGCATTCTGTGACTTTTGACAGAGGAAGGACAAAAATAGCTTAGTTTCTTTTCAATGCCAACCAGATATCTGCATATTATAATAAGCTATGAGACATCAAGTTTACAAAAATTTAAAACATTTTGGAGCAAAATATTAGTATTATCATTTCCTGCACTACCAGAGTTATAAAAACTTTAAAAGTGTTTTTCTGTATTTAATTTGATACGTACAGTTTTTTCCGCATGTCAATATTTTCTAACTTTGAATCTTGGAGATTATCTTCAAAATATCTCATCCTTTGAACAGAATCCTCTAATTGGTTTCTGTTGAGAAAATTAAATCATGAAATCGAAATACCATAATAGTTTAACATCAATTTATATTCATTGTTTTAAGTTTGAAATGCAGAATTAATTACCACAAATATGACAAACTGAATGTAACATATACCATCTAAAATTAAAAACTGGAAATTTTTTAATAGATCAATTCAATGGGATAAATGAAAAAAAAAACATATCAAAACATGTCTTGCAAAAGAAAGTTTTTCATTGAGGTCATAAACAGATATAAGATCTAATTGTTAAAGACATCAGGCCCTCTTTGTTGAAAAGATTAGTGAATTCAAGTAAAGGATGTTCAATACTCTTGTTTTTAAATTTTTCCGGCTAACCCCTACTATTCTTCTCATAACTTTATTGCATATAGTTTAAAAAGCCATTTTTGAAAATCTTATAAAATCCTTGTTATTTCTTCATAGTTTTTGAAAGAAAAAAGGTGTTAATGTTAAACGTATGAAGATCTAGAGAGAATATGATTTTCATGATTTTTTCTACTTAAGTTCTGTTATTTATATACATATGTACTACCAATTTATAACAGTATTTTAAAAAAGCTTGCTATTTTGAAACAAAGGAGCGAACATCCTTAAAGGTGTTGGGTATATATGTCAGATAGAAACAGCAACTCAAAAACAAAATGGATTGAACCATAAAAAAAATATGAAGAGGTTAACAAAACATTCGAAAAGTGCCAATACCATATATCAAAACACTTAATGGCCCTTAAGTTGAGATAACTTTTATAGCTTTATAGCTTGCTGTTCGGTGTGAGCGAAGGCTCCGTGTTGAAGGCCATACTTTGACCTATAATGGTTTACTTTTACAAATTGTGACTTGGATGGAGAGATGTCTCATTGGCACTGATACCACATCTTCTTATATCTATATAAGTTAAATAAGCAAAAATAAATTAAACAGATCAAAGCTATAGCACAGCAGAAAGCACTCTTCAAAGCACAAATAATACAGGGTACAATAATTAAAAAAAAAAAATAAACATGTAGCCAGGTAAATTTGTGTCTTAGTACTTCTAAAACACACACCATTTCTTCACAGAACATTAGAAAAATTAAATAAAATAAAGATTCTTTAAGTTAGATAGACATCACGATAGAAAATTTCAATTGAATATTTAAGTTGGATGCGATAACAAATGATAATTTTTAAAACAGACAATCCTAAAAATGATTAGACCAAGTTTGATCTCTTCTGGTTTTGTCTTTTTTAAAAAGGGAAAGATTTTTAAAGGTTTAAAACCAATGTACATTTATTATAAACAGTAAGTTAGTGAAATGTTTGTGACCTTTTGGGAAAATGCTGCCAACAAAATCGACATACACTTTGTCAGTTTTTATTTTGTATATCAAAGCAATATGATTGCTACATAAATTAGATTATTTACAAAATTCAGACAAATAACTGTATACAGAATTATTAAATAAAATTAAACCGTCATTAAAATTGATCTCGCATACCAATATGTTTTTTGGGGCATAAATTGGTACACCACATAGTTTAAGTGTTTACATTTTTAAAAGATCTGTAGACTAGACTGTCATTTCAAGAGCAACCTACTATAATCAATTCTAATATTTGAAACATGTTATCAAAGTTAAATGATATAATTTCATTAGTTTAAAACAAATCACCAAAGACAACCCACTTAAACCATGTGCATGTAATCTGAAAACTTACAACTGGGTTTTTAAGCTATTATTTTCTAAATTGGCTTTTCTGACAACTTCTTCATAATTCCTGATAGCTTTGGCAGTGGATTCGTGGATTTTTCTAGAAGGAGAATTATTATATGAATGTGGAACAAATTAAATTATTTTTTTATGCTAAAAAAGGGATAGATGGATCAGTAATTGACAAACACAAAATAAGGAAAGGGAGTACTATATTTCTGTTCTAAGCTTTTACTTTAAGTTATTCTATATATAGTTATCAAACATTACTTCTATAAAATGACATAATAAGCTATCAGTGTATTGGACTTGGTGTATATGGTGTATATCATATATAGGGTGCAGGACATTTGGGCTAATTAGAGTTGAAATAATAAAGCATGCAAATCAAGAGTTTAAATGCCTTGCTTGCAAACTTTGTTTGGTTGTTTGCTCAGACATTGTAATTAAGATTGACACCTAAATTCAATGGGTAGGAGGAGTAACAGTCTGTTTATTATATAAAAAGATTTGATTGGACAATGGATATCATATTTTTTCCAGTTAGGCACTTAAAGGGTACACAGAAAAAAGAATAGTTAGCTAAATGTGAACCAATTTTGAAAACTAATTAATAATAATACAGTTTTTACAATAAAGCAAGATTTGATGGTTTGATTGTTTTTATTTGATATGATAATGAAAAGTTTTCTGCACACAATTGCTTTATTCTTGATTTTGGAAGGCGAAACTTGATCATTTATCATCAGAGATATAATTATTGTGTGTTTTTTTTTTTTTTTTTAGTTATTTTTGCTTTTTATTTAGAATCATAAAAAATAAATTTGAATTGTTCACGGTTTCACCTTCATCTTTCCACCCATAAAAATGGTACATGCCGACACCCCCCAAAAAATATAAACTGCTGACGGCAAATAATTTTTAAAGTATTGACTGGTTTCCGATTTCTCACATCTTTTTGGATCGTAATGACAAATAATATATATTTTATTTCTCGCCAAAATATTTAAAGAATTAAATTGTCATAAAAATTGAAATGGGAATTGGGAACCATTAATTTTTTCTAGATGGAAACTTATGTATCAAATAATTAATAATGTGGCAGGAATATGGTTTCATTTCTTGTTGCATTTAATTGTCAAATTTTAATGCACTAAGCCCATAAGAGAATGAGTTTTAAAAATTGTGTTCATTCTAAATAAAAGTTAGTAACTATACAATTATTGAAATTGTTGAAGAGTGCCTTTATAATATTGATGGTCAGATTCCCTTTATTACAACTACTGTATTGACCCTTAGAGCATTGCGAGCCACTGACTTCTCAAACAGTTTTCAACAAAGTGATCTGAAGTTATTTTTTTCTTGTATAATATATACAGTAGTTTAAAGTGCAAAATTTCACGTAATTAGCATCTCTCTAATAAGTAACAAGAAATAATATAATTTATTTCATGTCAACATTATAGTTTGAATTAAAATATGACATTAAAACTGCTCATGCTATATGTTTTAAATCCATTTCAAAATTGGTTAACTTTACCTTTCCTGTACCCCCTTTAGCCCATGCTTCTTTTTATCTTTCAAGTGCCTAACTGGAAACAACTTTGATATTCATTGACCAATCAAACCTTTGTATATAGTAAACAGACTGTTACTCCGCCTACCCATTGAATTTATGTGTCAATCTTAATTACAATGTCTGAGCAAACAACCAAACAAAGTTTGCAAGCAAGGCATTTTAACTCTTGATTTGCATGCTATATATTTATTTCAACTCTAAATCATAAGCCTGACCATGTTATCATTTGGGCTAAAAATGTTGGTGAAGTTTACATTTGGGCTAATTAAATTGATATACCTGTACAGGTAAATAACAGAAGCTTATCTATATCAGTACTAGTATGTGTTATAAAATATATGAAATTTAACTAAAAAAATTCCCATCTTTTAATCTGCATAATATAAATCAGGTCATTTGAAAACTATGCTAGTTTGAAAAGAAAAGAATTTGAATTTTTACAATATTTGATGGAAATGAGTTTACAATTGAGATCAAGCAGTATCACAAGATTACAATTTTTAAAGGCTGTTAGCTTTAAATTTAGGACCAGAACCAATCTTAGATTAATTGATTGTTGGTTGCTTAATGTCCAGTTGCAAATATTTCATGCATGTCCAGGACGAAGGTTATTTAGTGCTTTAAAGACTCGTCTTGCTCAAAGTCCCACTTCCACCTTGCCGTGGTATGCAGGGGTAGACACTGTCTTGCAAACGGAAGGGGTACATTACAAGTAGATATAAATAGAATGTCATTTATTTATACATATTGAATATAAATAAATAATGAAACATAGATATGAAACTTGTAATTTACCTGTTCATGAAAGAATTAGCCGAATGTAGACTTTAAAATTTAGCCCAAATGTCAACTTGCCATTGGCCTAAACGTAACATATTTTAAGCCCAAATATTACACCAATTATCCCAAAAGTGCATCTCCCATATTATAAACTTATAAATAGATACTATTAATGTACAATCATGAGATGAGAGTACATTGTCTCCATGGTCACACTTATGTAGATAAATAAATATTATAAGTACATACAATAGTAATACCGTTTTGATATCTTGAAAACTGGATTTAAAATTAAAAACAAATTAGGTTTATAAGGATTAAATAAAAATATGGGCGCACACATACAAATATTTTTGAAACAATTATTCTGCAAGAACTTTGTACATAAATGCATTCAATTTCGTGTATTAATCATTAATCTCATGTTAACCATAATAGTTTAACTTGCCAGTTATGTAAATACAAATAGATGACTCTGTATAATTACGTTTGTCACATTGTTATCAGGTTTTTCAATAAACATGCATACAAATCATAATAAAATGCTTCGCTGAGCGCAGCTGGATATGACCGCAGAGGTCCAACCCTGAACAGTTGGGGCAAAAATGGACACAATATTAGCGCTTGATACAGGTCTGAATTTGGATTGTAATCAAATATTTGACACATACTAGGTTTCTGACACAGAAAAATATTTTGAAGAAATTTTCTTTTTAATTTCTGAAATCTGAAATGAGAAAAATTGTAGCCACCCCACAAATTCTTATTTACCCCCCCCCCCCCCCCCCCCCAAATTTTTTTCAACTCCCCTTTCCCTTATTCCAAAAATAATCTCAATTCAAATTTCTAATGGAGTTTGCAACCATAACTACTCATTTAAATACATCATAAAATATTAAAATATAAAATGACATACAGTCATGGTTAAAATTAAT